TAAGACCATCATGCATCTGAGGATGACATTGTGATGTCTAAGATCATCATACATCTGAGGATGACATTGTGATGTCTAATACCATCACACATCTGAGGATGACATTGTGATGTCTATTACCATCATACATCTGAGGATGACAATGTGGTGTCTAAGACCATCCAACATCTGAGGATGACCATGTGATGTCTAAGACCATCACACATCTGAGGATGACATTGTGATGTCTAAGACCATCATACATCTGAGGATGACAATGTGGTGTCTAAGACCATCAAACATCTGAGGATGACCATGTGATGTCTAAGACCATCACACATCTGAGGATGACAATGTGATGTCTAAGAACATCATACATCTGAGGATGACATTGTGATGTCTAAGACCATCATGCATCTGAGGATGACATTGTGATGTCTAAGACCATCACGCATCTGAGGATGAAATTGTGATGTCTAAGGCCATCATACATCTGAGGATGACATAGTGATGTCTAAGACCATCATGCATCTGAGGATGACATTGTGATGTCTAAGACCATAGGATGACATTGTGATGTCTAAGTCCATCATACATCTGAGGATGACAATACAATTTCTCAGACCATCATACATCTGAGGATGACATTGTGATGTCTAAGAACATCATACATCTGAGGATGACAATGTGATGTCTAAGACCATTATACATCTGAGGATGCATACATTGTGATGTCTAAGACCATCACACATCTGAGGATGACAATGTGATGTCTAATACCATTATACATCTGAGGATGACATTGTGATGTCTAAGACCATTATACATCTGAGGATGACATTGTGATGTCTAAGACCATCACACATCTGAGGATGACATTGTGATGTCTAAGACCATTATACATCTGAGGATGCATACATTGTGATGTCTAAGACAATCACACATCTGAGGATGACAATGTGATGTCTAAGACCATCATACATCTGAGGATGACAATGCAATGTCTAAGACCATAATACATCTGAGGATGACAATGCATTGTTTAATACCTAATATCACACATAGAAATGATAACATTCAGCAATGTCTCAGAATTTTGCACATTGAAAGATGGCATATTGGCATGTCTGAGAACATTAGCGTATACAATGTTAAAATTTAATGAGACCACTACCAGGACAATAGACGTGAAGCCACTGTTAAATTAAATGATACATTATACATATATTTCTCTGGGCTCTACAGATACTGATCAATATAAGAAGATTAAAGTTACATGTGATCGTCTTGAGTAGACCAAGCTGAGACAGACTTGGGAAAGCTCTCAGACGTAGGCTATTACAACTCGAAAATGTTTCCTTGGGTACAGCTCATATCATGTTTCTAAAACAAAGCACTGTTAGTTTGTTATTTTCTCTATCTGGAAACAGAATGATCTTTTCTACCACTTAAACAAAACTGAGCCTTTGAAGTGTTCAAGAAGGTTAGATTCTTTGATGTTGGGTGAATGTTTATTATTTACTGAGATATTCCACCCTGAGTTAGTACTCTGCTATAAGATCAATTGGGTTTTTCAGACCATAACTTAAATCATGCGAAAATCTGTAGCTGAACACATGAAACTTCAAATACATTACCCAAACAGAAGGCAACAATTGTATTGAATTTGGGTTGAATTGTCAAAGGTAAAGGTCACTGTCAGGGAATTGGTACTTTAAACTGCCTTCTAGACAGCAAGCTGGATAGCTTTTACGCTACACAATAAGTATCAAAGACATTAGCCATGTGATGGCCAGGAGCCTATGGTCAATTGTAAGCATGATTGCTTTTGGTTTTGCCAATTTTGCCAAATATCCCAGACTTAGTCTTGTTGATATCAGAGAAGATGTCTACCAACAAATTATCCGACTTCAGATAAAACCTTTTGGAATCAGAAGCTCTGTTCAACATTGATACACAAGAAATATTTATTTGCTTCCTTGCTTTCATTTTTATGCTGTGGCGCCTCGTCCGTCGTCAATATTTTACTTTAAATGACTTCTTCTTAATAACCAAAATGCCTAGGGTGATGATATTTGGCCAGAAGCAAACTGGGATGAAGGGCTAAAAAGTTTGTCAAAATGAATGACCTTCACCCATTTTAAAGGTCACAGGGGTCAAATGTGTTAAAAACTTTAAACATAAACTGCTCAGGGAGACGATATTTGACCAGTAGCATGCTGGGGTAAAGGGCTATCAAGTTTGTTCAAATAAATGACCTTCACCTATATTCAAGGTCGCAGGGGTCAAATATGTTAAAAACATTAAACAACTTCTTCTGAATAACCAAAATGCACAGGGTGATGATGTTTGGCCAGTAGCATGCTGAGATGAAGGGCTACCAAGTTTGTTCAAATGAATGACCTTCACCCATATTCATGGTCACAGGGGTCAAATATGTTAAAAACTTTAAACATCTTCTCCTTGCTAACCAAAAAGCCCAAGGTGATGATATTTGGCCAGTAGCGTGCAGGAGTAAAGGGCTATCAAGTTTGTTCAAATGAATGACCTTCACCCATATTCAAGGGACAGGTTTCAAATTTGTTAAAAATTTAAACAACTTCTTCTGAATAACCAAAATGTCCAGGGTGATGATATTTAGTCAGTAGCATACTTGGATCAAGGGCTACCAAGTTTGTTTAAATGTATGACCTTGAATCATATTCAAGATCACAAGGAGCAAATATGTACAAAATATTTAAAGAACTTGTTCTGAATAACCAAAAGGCTCAGGATGTTGATAGTCAATAGCATGCTGGGATCAAGGACTACTATGTTTGTTAAAGTAAATGACTTTGACTTATATTCAAGGTCACAGGGGTCAAATTTGTTTAAAATCTTTAAACGACCTCTTCTGAATAACCATGGGTCCCAGGATGTTGATACTTGCAAGTTGCATCCTGAGATGAAAGGCTATAAAATTTGTTCAACATAATTATGACTTTGTTCGACTTTCAATCACAGGGTTGAAATGTTTAAAAAAAAAAATACAGTTGTGGGAACGCACAGCGTTACACGATGTGCGGTGTGCGCACGATGTGTGCACGGTGTGTGAACAGTGTCTGCACGATGGGCGAACGATAAAAAGCTGGACGATCATTGCTTGCGCACATCTGTGCGCACGATGGACGGACGCTGTGCGATAACAATCGTGGTTGGTGTAAATTAAGGAATGCCTTAACAATTTATACGGTTTTGTGTTTAAACATATTAACTTGATGTTTACGTATGTTTCTATATCCTAGCAACATCTATAAACTTATCCTTCTGTCTATACATTCTTATATTTAGAAATTGTGTTTTCTCTGTTTTTAAACAAACCTAATCGACACATGTAAAATTACAACACAATCCCTTATACAGGTAAAAATAACCACTTTGTACATGTACCTGGACCGTAGTTTTCTCCCCGCCTGGGGCACTTACGTAACTCGCCGGAAAACAAACGTTGGGGGTGTGAAAATCCAGGTGAAGGGGAGCTATAGGCAAACGAATGCAAATAACAAATATCGGATACTATTCATTACGGTCAAACGGTCAAACGGTATCGCAAATCAGCTCTGTGTGTCAGGCACTGGTCAGGTAGAACTCCGGACACTCATAACATTGTTATTTACCTGTTCTATTACCTTGGAGCCAAACCCATTCTTGACGGCCTAACAGTCGCTGTAATACTGTGTAACATGCATTGTGAAATTGTATAATCTTTATTATTGTGATGAGAAATTACAGATATATACACAGTGTACATTATCGTACACAAGCCTTCCGTATTTTTGTCATTCCGTAATTTTGATCTAAAAATGATACCAAATTGCACAGTTGTGAGGAGAGAATCGCTCAACGGGGCAAACGATTGCTTAATCGCACAGTTGTGCGCACCATATGTGGACGATGTGCGGACGGTGTGTGAACGATGTATGCATGGTGTGCGCACGCTATTTTTGGTGGGTTGTGCGGACCCACAACTGTAACAGGCTCTTTTGAATGAATTTTAATCATAAATACTGATATTTTCCCTGTAGCTTTATTTTAGATCACTTTTAAGGTTACAAATGTGAGATTTATACCAGGTGAGCGATGCAGGCCCATTGGGCCTCTTGCTAGTTGATTTGCTGAGAAGGGATAGTTAGCCCCTTGTCCATTCCCAGGGTTTGGGTGAGAGGGTGCCGACATATAGGATGGCACTCATTTGGTTCACCCTTCCATCCCTATTCTGTCTGCTTTTTTGTCCGGGTTTAATGTACTCGCAACAGCCAGGGTCATATGAGGACGGCCATGGAAGAGTGTGGAGTACAAGAAGTAGGTCACTGTGACCTTGACCTTTGACCTTTTTGAGTTTTTCCAGGGCATATCTGCATGAAGTTGTAGTGTGAGATTTTTGCTATCTTTGCTATACAAACACAATATTATAATAAATATATGATACAAGACTAAAAGAATCAGGTGTATGCAGCAGTTTGGAAAAGGGATAATCAGGTTCATACTTTGAAGTTTAGACCTACCTAAAGCTAGTTGCATCCTATGACTTGTTTGGAATAAGGATTTGTGTAAACAAGGTAAATAATAGAAATTGTAGAAATCAGAGTTGATTCAAATGTCATCTATAGGTTCAACTACTGCAGTCATTATTTATGCAGAAAAGTTTTTACTGAACAATTTCAAATCTATAAAGAGTCCTGTTTGGCGGTGTACTTGAATTTAGAAGTTATCTATTGGAGATAAATTGTATTCATAGCTTAATTGAACTGCTTTGCAATCTAGATGCGTTGTACATGTATTTCATTTTAGAAAGTGTCTGTTAATAAGCAGAAATAAAAAAATATATCAAGTTCTTCAGATGATTTCATTAATATAAACTGACTTTTTGTTTTCAGAGATTGACGTTTTCAGTCAACTAGCTGCCGGGGCAAAAATCCTACTGTTGCCTTTGGAATTGACACATAGGTTCAGTTCATAATTGTCCAATTTCTCTTTTTTAGTTGATGTCTCTCTTTGATGATTTAATGAAAAGAATGGATGAATTAAAGAAGGCCAATGATAACATGAAGAATCAGCTTGATGGGGTGAGTAGTTTTAACTGCTACTTGTTTAAGTTGTAGTATACCCTGTATCGGTAAATAGAATATTTTTTTTGTAGAAAGTAAGTAGCCATACAAATTCACAAAAAGAAGCAATCTTCCGTGCCATTTTGTTTCACACTAAGAGTCTTATGTTGGATGAATTGATCCTCTGTAGGATCTGACATTTTCATCTGGACTGTTTACATAGAGATCATGAAGATAATACAATATTGAAGGTCTGTCCTTTGCAGCACTAAGGATCTTGATTTAGGTGTTGACTTCCTAGAATTTCTCAGAATTGTATGACTAACTGAGATATCATACACTCGTGTCTATGCTATGGTAGTTCAGTGTGGCAACACAATATCTGTTATATGATCCTATTTTTGTAGTTTAGACAACATCTCAAACTAAGATAAAAGGTGTGTACTTAATAGATTATCTTTTATAGTGTTTCATAATATGTTTGGTCTGTACATGAATATTCTGTTCCATTGTTAAGGGAGTTCTATCTTAATGATATATATATCAATACAGTTATATTAAAAGGGGGGCGTTGTTCACAATACATGTAAGTTTGATTTAAATGAGTTATTGATATTCAAGTTAAGTATGATCACTATTACCTAAATACATGTATTATAATTGATATAAACATCTGTGCATGGGAGTGATGAAACCTACAGCAGGTATGGGTATTATGAAATATATAGCGGGTTTGGGAGTGATGAAACCTACAGCAGGTATGGGTATTATGAAATATATAGCGGGTTTGGAAATGATGAAACCTATAGCGGGTTTGGGAATAATGAAACCTATAGGGGGTTTGGGAATTATGAAACCTTAAGCGGGTTTGGGAATTATGAAATCTATATAGCAGGAATGGGAATGATGAAACCTATAGTGGGAATAGGAGTGATAAAAAATATAGCAGGTTTGGAAATGATGGTTTGGGTATAATGAAACATCTAGGTTTGGGTATGATGAAACATCTAGGTTTGGGAATGATGAAACATATAGCAGGAATGGGAATGATGAAACCTATAGTGGGAAGTGAAATGATGAAACCTATAGCAGGTATTGAAATGATGAAACCTATAGCAGGTATTGAAATGTTGAAACCTTATAGCAGGTATTGAAATGATGAAACTTATAGTGAATATTAAAATGATGAAACCTATAGTGGGTGTTGAAATGATGAAACCTATAGCAGGTATTGAAATGATGAAACCTATAGTGGGTATTGAAATGATGAAACCTATAGTGGGTATTGAAATGATGAAATCTATAGCAGGTATTGAAATGATGAAACCTATAGTGGGTAATGAAATGATGAAACCTATAGTGGGTATTGAAATGATGAAACCTATAGTGGGTATTGAAATGATGAAACCTATAGCCGGTATTGGAATGATGAAACCTATAGCAGGTATTGGAATGATGAAACCTATAGCAGGTATTGGAATGATGGTATGGGAGGGATGAAACCTATAACAGTTTTGGGAATGATGGTATGGGAGGGATGAAACCTATAGCAGTTATGGGGGTGATGAAACCTATAGCAAGTATTGGAATTATGATAACCTATAGCAGGTATGGGAGTGATGAAACATAGCAGGTATGGAAATGACTGTATGGGTATAATGAAACCTATAGCAGATTTGGGAAGGATGAATTTATAGCAGGTATATGGAATTGATTAAATGTATAGTAGGTATGGGAGTAAGGAAGCTTACAACATTTATGGAATAAATCTGAATAAAAGTTTTGTGAAGGAACAAAAAATATCATTTTTCATATTATTCATTTTCTATATTTTTTCCAGCTGAACTTAGATGACATCCTGTCAAGGCTGAATGATTTGGAAAATAATGTCGTAAGTATTTGATTAAGATGAATATCATGTGATGCACTTTTTATACCCACCATGACCCATACTCATTACCAAGAAAACACAACCTAAAATATTGGCGCTTCCTTAGAAACGAAAGCCGGAAGAGATACATGTCACTGGGGACCATTTCAAAACTGGAAAAAAATCTTTTTTTTTTTTTTTTTTTTTTTTTTAAATTTCAGTTGAAAGCTTTTTAACTTGCACTGTCAGCTTTAAGTATGACTTATAATATTTATATTTGAGTATGAACCCACTTAGTATAAAGACACAGTATAAACACTCATATGAACATACTAAGTTAAAATAGTATGAACTCATTTAGTATGAACATATTTAGTATGAACATACATTATGAACAAATTCAATACGAACACTTAAATATAATATAAAAATAATATAAACTTTATTTATTTTGCAACATTTATGAATCAAGTTATTACAACTTATATTAATCACTCTTGTTAGTCTGGATATAAGCATGCCGGGGGAAACCGGGGAAACCCCACATGGTCAGGCGAATGCGATATCCACTTCGCCACCCGACTACCCATAAAGGCACTTAATGTAACTACAATTAAATCAAAGTTTAGCTCATAGCTGAAGTCCATATTTCAACAAGAAATTATTTCCTGAACATCAAACTACATTATCAGGTGTACATGTACATACGTGTGTAAATAGTGATTTCTTTTGTTCCCTAGGTTTGTTATAAACATGTTATACTGAAGTTATTCCTTACATACCTGTACATTGGTAAGGTTGACTTACTTATACCATCTATGATATCATTAACTCATGTATCTTATAGACCCCAGGCAAAGCCCCTAAGTACAAAGTCAAGGTAACTTACCATGTTGTAGTTTCTATATTTGTACATATTTGATGTGTTAAATGTTTGAACTTTGTAACACTGAGTTGTATTGTAAGAGGTAATGCTATGTGTCTATCACCATAGATATGGCACTGACTCGTACAAGCACACCCACCGATGACACCAGTTTGCAGTCATATATACTCATGTATCACCTTTATAGACTGAAATTTTCTATTAGCATATTGTTGAATAAGGTATCATACTTCATTGATTTTGTTTGTGTCTGCACTGGTATATAATATTGATCTTGGTTTAGGTCTCTATGTTCACATATCTCAATCAATTTTAGAACACTAGCTCTATGTATATTTGCCTATACATTGTAGCCTCACAAACTATCATATAATATCACATCACATTTTAGATGTGATTCTCTAGATCTATGCTGCATATGTCATTATTGTATAACTATACATTTAACATTCGTGTACATATTGTTTCCACTTTTAAATGATTGGAAGCACTCCTACTCCACAAATCCTGTACCTGTAAATTATACATACAACTGGTATAGACAACCATCCGTTCAACTATTTTCTGCTGACATGTGGTCATACACTGTAAAATATTTGTGTGTAATTTGCATGAAATTCAAATTAGAATTTTTTTCAGTGATATATAGAATTCTAGATCTTATATCCAGAATGTTTCTTGATTCTTTACAAAGACTACCCATGATGGTTCATTCTCAAAACATTTTGATTCTTAGTTATTCGTTTTTCAAAATAGAATGCTTTTAAAGTACTATTTAAACCATTTTCTGATTGTGTACCAATTTAGGTAGCGTACCAATTGTGGTAGTGTAACGTTACAATAACTAGAAAGAGTGACAACGAGATTAATGGTGTCTTGATAGAGTAACCAACAGATTAATGGTGTCTTGATAGAGTAACCAACAGATTAATGGTGTCTTGATAGAGTAACCAACAGATTAATGATGTCGAAATAATGGGACACACAGATAAGTAGTGTCTAAATATTGGGACAACCAGATAAGTAGTGGCTTGATGGTGGGGCAACCAGATTAGTAGTGGCTTGATAGTGGGGCAACCAGATTAGTAGTGGCTTGATGGGGGGACAACCAGATTGGTAGTGGCTTGATTGTGGGACAACCAGATTAGTAGTGGCTTTATAGTGGGACCACCAGATTAGTGGAAGCTTGATAGTGAGACAACCAGATTAGTGGAAGCTTGATAGGGGGACAACCAGATTAGTAGTGGCTAGATAGTGGGACAACCAGATTAGGAGTGTCTAGATAGTGTGACAACCAGATCAGTAGTGTCTAGATAGTTGGACAACCAGATTAGTAGTGGCTTTATAGTGGGACCACCAGATTAGTGGAAGCTTGATAGTGGGACAACCAGATTAGTAGTGTCTAGATAGAGTGACAAACAGATTAATGATGTCGAAATAATGGGACACACAGATAATTTGTGTCTAAATAGTTGGACAACCAGATTAGTAGTGTCTAGATAGTGGGACAACCAGATTAGGAGTGTCTAGATAGTGGGACAACCAGATTAAGTAGTGACTAGATAGTGGGACAACCAGATTAGTATTGTCTAGATAGAGTGACAAACAGATTAATGATGTCGGAATAATGGGACACACAGATAATTTGTGTCTAAATAGTTGGACAACCAGATTAGTAGTTTCTGGATAGTGGGACAACCAGATTAGTAGTGGCTAGATAGTGGGACAACCAGATTAGTAGTGTCTAGATAGTGGGACAACCAGATTAGTGGAAGCTTGATAGTGGGACAACAAAATTAGTGGTGGCTTGATAGTGTGACATCTAGATTAGTTGTTGCTTGAAGGTGTGACAACCAGATTAGTGATAGCTTGATGGTGGGACAACCAGATTAAAAAAATGGCTTGAAAGTGGGACAACTAGCTTGGTTGTTGCTTGAAAGTGGGACAACCATTAAGTTGGTGGCTGGATAGTGGGACAACCAGATTAGTGTTGGCTGGATAGTGGGACAACCAGATTAGTGGTGGCTGGATTGTGGGACATCCAGATTAGTGGTGGCTGGATAGTGTGACAACCAGATTAGTGGTGGCTGAATAGTGTAACAATCATATTAGTGGTGGCTGGATAGTGTAACAACCAAATTAGTGGTTGCTAAATAGTGTAACAACCAGATTAGTGTTGTCTGGATAGTGTGAGAACCAGATTATTGGTTTCTAGATAGTGTAACAACCAAATTAGTGGTGGCTGAATAGACTAACAACAAGATTAATTAGTGGTGGCTAGATAGTGTGAGAACCAGATTATTGGTTTCTAGATAGTGTAACAACCAAATTAGTGGTGGCTGAATAGACTAACAACAAGATTAATTAGTGGTGGCTAGATAGTGTGAGAACCAGATTATTGGTTTCTAGATAGTGTAACAACCAAATTAGTGGTGGCTGAATAGACTAACAACAAGATTAATTAGTGGTGGCTAGATAGTGTGAGAACCAGATTATTGGTTTCTAGATAGTGTAACAACCAAATTAGTGGTGGCTGAATAGACTAACAACAAGATTAATTAGTGGTGGCTAGATAGTGTGAGAACCAGATTATTGGTTTCTAGATATTGGGAAAACCAGATTAGTGGTGGCTTGATAGTGTGACAACTAGATTATTGGTTTCTAGATATTGGGAAAACCAGATTAGTGGTGGCTAGATAGTGTGAGAACCAGATTATTGGTTTCTAGATATTGGGAAAACCAGATTAGTTGTGTCTGATAGTGTGACAACTAGATTAGTTGTGTCTGATAGTAGTTGCTAGATTAGGAATACCCAGCCATAACTGCAAATATGTTGAATTTACTCAAAATCAACTTCAGGCCAAAAACACTCAAAACAACTTAAAATATATGAGGAATCATTTCTACTGCTTTTGACCTTGAGTTTAGAAATAATTTTGATTGAAGTATCTGATAAAAAAGAATTGTATAGTTCTTGAAATATAATATTTGTTTTTCAACTCGCTGTTATAAGAGTGCCAGGGAGAATGGTCAGTACCATGGGGACTGGTAACTTCTATACTAGCTGTCTCTGATTCATCAACAAAGAAATTGCCCAGAGGCGTGTTGATACCAGTATCATTTTCCAATCTGTTGTCTAATGAAATTTGAATGGAAACTCTTCCATAAACAGTAATGAATAATATTTTGTCCGGGTATAATTGATCTGAAGAGGTTTGTTTTTTTGGGGGATTAAATTGGTGATCAATCTGGCACTGCACTGTACAGATATTTCTAACAAATCAATTTGTAGCAATTAGGCGGAGCTGTCAAAAGGCAATGTCGTGTCACTTGATTCCTGGACTTTGATAGGTAGATACATCTATATTGTGGTGACAGTAAACACTAGCTAGATATTAGCGTGTACTTATTGCCCGTACACAGACAAAATTCATTAATAATGCAAATCTCCATCACATGTCATTCACAAAACAATCATCATCAAACTGCCATGTTGTCCGTTATAAAAGTTATTATATATAGATGTTAATATTGATTGTAATGATGTTGCAGAAAGACCTAAACGAGAAGTTTGGCACCCTCCCGTCAGCAGAAGAGCTCGCTACGTTTGTCACCTGGCCTGGCCTAGAGGATGCATTGAAAGGCGTCAAGCGTGACTGGGAAAGTCTTCAGCAGCAAGAGCGCGTCGTCATAGAGATGTCTAGTCAGACAGAACCAGTAAGTGTCATGGCTAACTACACGTCGGTACCAGCAAACTAATACACTAATCTCACATAAAACCAGCCAATAAATGTTTAATAAATGTTTACAAACAGTTTGTTTGGGATTGTGGGTCTACGTAGTTATGGCTAACAAACTACTGCAGTGTAGGAATTTCAACCCACTTAACAGGTGATCACCAGGCCTGATTTAACACACCCATGTTTAATGTTAATTAAATTATATCAAGTAATGTTCTAAATTAAAATTCAATTGATTTTAAGTTTGTTAATCAAATCCCAGTTTATATAAGATGGTAGGAGCTTGCAGACCTATGTTCATGCTTAGTCATAAAATTTGTCTGTAAGAGTATAAAGACTTAAGAAGTTTATACACACCTTCAGCAGAACTTGTATAATTAGCTTAGGCTGAAAATCAATCCTTTCCTAATTATATTCAGGCAATTGTGTTCCTTATTCAAAACCAAAATTATATTATTACACATATACAGTCATTATCAACAAAATGTTTTAAAAAGATGGTGTACATTTTCTAATTGAAAATTAAGTAGACCTGTTGCAGTAATTATGTCGACCTGAGGCAGGTCAAATCCTTGTACAGCCCTAACAAAACACCAGGTCAAATCCTTGTACAGCCCTAACAAAACACCAGGTCAAATCCTTGTACAGCCCTAACAAAACACCAGGTCAAATCCTTGTACAGCCCTAACAAAACACCAGGTCAAATCCTTGTACAGCCCTTTAACAAAACACCAGGTCAAATCCTTGTACAGCCCTTTAACAAAACACCAGGTCAAATCCCTGGTCTTTTGACAAATTACCAGTTCAAATCTCTGTGTACAGCCTTGTGACAAATTACAAGTTCAAATCCCTGTACAGCCTTGTGACACAATACACGGTTAAATTCCTATAAACCCTTGTGACAAAATACACGGTCAAATTCCTGTACAGCCTTGTGACAAAATACTCCCTCAAATTCCTGTTCACCCTTGTGACAAAATACACGGTAAAATTCCTATACACCCTTGTGACAAAATACACGGTCAAATTCCTGTACAGCCTTGTGACAAATTACCAGTTTAAATCTCTGTACAGCCTTGTGACACAATACACGGTCAACTTCCCTGTACAGCCTCGTGACAAAATACACGGTCAAATCTCTATACAATCTTTGACGAAATACCAGTTCAAATCCCTGTACAGCCTTGTGGCAAAATTCTCCCTCAAATTCCTGTACAGCCTTGTGACAAAATACACGGTCAAATTTCTGTACAACCTTGTAACAAATTACTAGTTCAAATTCCTATACACCCTTGTGACAAAATACACGGTCAAATTCCTGTACAGCCTTGTGACAAAATACACGGTCAAATTCCTGTAAAGCCTTGTGACAAAATACACGGTCAAATTCCTGTACAGCCTTGTGACAAAATACCAGATCAAGTCCCTGTGCAGCCTTGTGACAAAATACATGGTCAAATCTCTGTACAATTTTTGACGAAATACCAGTTCAAATCCCTGTACAGCCTTGTGACAAAATTCTCCATCAAATTCCTGTACAGCCTTGTGACAAAATACCAGGTCAAATTCCTGTACAACCTTGTGACAAATTACTAGTTCAAATTCCTGTACAGCCTTGTGACAAAATACCAGATCAAGTCCCTGTGCAGCCTTGTGACAAATTACCCGGTCAAATTCCTGTACAACCTTGTGACAAATTACTCCCTCAAATTCCTGTTCACCCTTGTGACAAAATACACGGTAAAATTCCTATACACCCTTGTAACAAAATACACGGTCAAATTCCTGTACAGCCTTGTGACAAATTACTAGTTCAACTCCCTGTACAGCCTCGTGACAAAATACACGGTCAAATCTCTATACAATCTTTGACGAAATACCAGTTCAAATCCCTGAACAGCCTTGTGACAAAATTCTCCATCAAATTCCTGTACAGCCTTGTAACAAAATACCAGGTCAAATTCCTGTACAACCTTGTGACAAATTACTCCCTCAAATTCCTGTTCACCCTTGTGACAAAATACACGGTAAAATTCCTATACACCCTTGTGACAAAACAGCCTTGTGACAAATTACCAGTTTAAATCTCTGTACAGCCTTGTGACACAATACACGGTCAACTTCCCTGTACAGCCTCGTGACAAAATACCCGGTCAAATCTCTGTACAATTTTTGACGAAATACCAGTTCAAATCCCTGTACAGCCTTGTGACACAATACACGGTCAACTTCCCTGTACAGCCTCGTGACAAAATACCAGTTCAAATTCCTGTACAGCCTTGTGACAAATTACTAGTTCAAATCCCTGTACAGCCTTGTGACAAAATACACGGTTAAGTTCCTATACACCCTTGTGACAAAATACACGGTCAAATTCCTATACACCCTTGTGACAAAATATACCGTCAAATTCCTGTACAGCCTTGTGACAAAATACACAGTCAAATTCCTGTACAGCCTTGTGACAAAATACCAAAACAAATCCCTGTACAGCCTTGTGACAAAATACCAAAACAAATCCCTGTACAGCCTTGTGACAAATTACTAGTTCAAATCTCTGTACAGCCTCGTGACAAAATACCCAGTCAAATCTCTGTACAATCTTTGACGAAATACCAGGTCAAATCCCTGTACAGTCTTTGAAAAAAAATTCAGGTTTACTCCCTACATAGCCTAGGCCTTTTGACACTAAACCATCATGTCAGATTTTACCTGGAGACACTTGTACATGTTTGCCAAGCTTTCACTTCCCATCCATATGTGACATTTGGTAGGCCTGATTAACTCCAGCATCACTATAAAAGACCATTGATCAGGAGGATGCTATTATACCTGCTACCATTAGTGTGGATGAGAGTATTCATAGGGCCATCAAAGTGTTGTGTCCTTTGTCCAGTCTGGGGAAGATTGTCAGGTCTAATGAGGCTTACACTGGCTATTTCCATATAAAGTTCCAGTGATGTAAATTTTTAGACTTGGAAGTTTCTATTGAAATAGATGGTAATTAAGTAAATGTGTACAGACACACATTTCTTTTACCATTAAGTGTAGTGTGAATATGAATTATTTCAGAGATAGAAATTGACCTCTGAAAGGTATAAGTAATGGATTTTAATATTCAAAGCTGACTCACTACAGCTAATGGTAATCAGACTTCACTGTAGGAAATGCTTGGAACAGGAACCCCAGGGGAGGGCTGTCCAAGGCTGAAATATTAATCAAAACATAGGGGTGGTTTACATCTTCCATTGACTTAGTTTGTAAACGTGTCCCCTGTTGATAAGGCAGCCAATAGTGACCAATATGTTATAGCTGTAGTTTGTGACATAGTGTCCAGCTTGACCGTTGGGTGGACTTGTGACATGTAATGCCAGGAACATAATTGACATGAACGCCCTATCGTGATATATCTGACGCTTTATCACGCTGGTAAAAATCTCATGAATATCTGGGACTTTAATGAACAACAGAAAAGTTTGTTAAGCTTTTCTAGCAAAACCCATGAATATAAGTGATTTAATGTAACAGAAGAGTTGATTTGGCTATTTTGGCTATTTTGGGAACAATTTTTAATTTTACTCATATTGTATGTACCTCTATATAGACTGAATGGTGGTAAGGTCGAAGCATTGTAAAGTGACTGCAGCTGTCCAGGATATTATACAGGGCCTCTTAGCATATCTAAATTACCTCCCTTACTTGATAAGGATTTATAATCTGGACCTGTTTTAATCATGTTCCCAGTGACGTTTCTATGGTATAGTTGTAAGTACTAGCTTATATTAGGTATATTAAATCTGCTATCAACATGTTTAGCAGCTAGGACAAATAAAGGCTGTAACAGATATACAATTTACCCAACAGCTTAGAGGTTAAGGCCCAAACTTCACAGCTTCATGACATGGTCCTTTTAAAACTTGAAAACAATGAACAGCAAATAATTGTTCCAGCTATGACTCAATTTTTTTAACAGGATTTCTGAAAACATGAAAGTATTTCATTATGTCAGAATCTTATCTTTAGATGAATATTTTTAAAATCTACCCAATTCTTTAAAGACAGAATAGAATGCCTTAATAAGATGTTCCAGAATTATGTGAGATCCTTTCTTGTGTTTATCTATATGTGTTTGACCTTCTTTTCTAGCGTAAAAAAAAGGTTTGTATGCATGCATGATTAGGTTGATGTGCACATGATCTAAGGCATGCCAATGTGTTATTTAACATGTCGTCTGTAAATCAGGATATAACAATGAGTCCTGTCAGACTTGTTATGGGAAATTATATATAAAAAAAGGCCTTAAGAAATTGTTTCCTCCAGGTTTTTTTCTTAATTTGCACAGTGTTTTTCATATTTTTGTTGTCATTTTTTTACATTATTGTCAGTGTTTTACAATGTTTGTCACATTTCATAAGTTCCCAACTGGGAAAGTCTGATTTTCTAGTGATATGAACCAATTAAACTTACATAATGGGCTAGCAGAATTATGTCAGTTGATTACTGTTTGAATCATTAAAATGGGAAAACCACTACATCTGAACTAAGCCGTATCTAAGACAGAAATACCTCTTTATTATTGTTACTAGTTACATACATTTTTATTGTAAATCTGTGTAAAATATTTTTATTTGTCATCAAACGAAATAAATTGGTCAACAATATATGTCCATTAGAGTAAGTCTTGCTCCAGAAAGATGGCTTTTGTGTTATCTGAACAGCCTGTGTATTTCAACTGATATAAAATGCTAAACTGTCTTAACCTTTAACCTTTAACCATTTAACATATAGGAATTGAAATCATAAATGTTCACTGGAAAAATTATCATTATGAGGTCGGTCTCAATGCTGTGATCAGTCTTCTCATGTTTTACTAACAATTAAGTGGGAGAGGTTGATTTCGGGATTGATCCGATTATAAATTATATTATTAACCATGATTTTCCTGTGGATTGGATTTCTGAGTTATATTAAAAATAGCAGATTCTTCAGACATGATATTGACATAGGTTATAGATCAGTGTTACATGGGTGTACTAATTACTGCATGTCTACTGTTCACTACCACTACCGATGTGGAACCCTAATGATAGCCAGAGACAGGAAGTTGTCTGCTAGAATTTAATGATTTTATTCCAAAGTGTAGGTTAGATGTAGGGTTTATTGTACCCAGAGGACCAGTGGTTTGAAACATGATCACCTGGTCAATATAATTCCAATCATTACTTCCTGATCGAAACCGTAAGCACAAAGATATCAGAATCTCTGCAATGATTACAATTGATTCCCTAACAGGCTTTGCTTACTCTGCTTATTTTACTTGTAGATTTAACTATCTCAGCTACAGGACAGGCATTATATTTAATTGCTTATTTTACCGGACACAGAAAACAGACTCTAATTTGACTTACCTGTGACCATGTATGACACACCACCATATAGCATGATATATTGCAACATCTTTCTCATCAATTTACTTTGAATGTTCAAATGAAATTTTCAAAATGAAGCATGGCTACATATATCAGAATCAAACCTGTATAATTGTAAATCTTGTGGACTTCTACTGGTGCAGTAACCTTCAGTGTATGAGTCTTGGGCATGTTATCTATCCTTTCTCCAGCACAATTCTGTCATTGTACTTAGAAAAACACTCTAGCAGAAGTCTCACACCTTAGAGGAGTCAATAGTCAGTCTTTATCACACTACAGGGAACAGACGGGTCAGTCTTATCACACTAGAGAGCGGGGACTGGTCAGTCTATATCATACTACAGAGGACTGGTTAGTCTTATCACACTAGAGAGTGGGGACTGGTCAGGCGTTATCACACTACAGGGGACAGACTGGTCAGTCTTATCACACTAGAGAGTGGGGACTGGTCAGTCTTTATCATACTACAGGGGACAGACGGGTCAATCTTATCACACTACAGGGAACAGACTGGTCAGTCTTATCACACTAGAGAGCGGGGACTGGTCAGTCTATATCATACTACAGAGGACTGGTTAGTCTTATCACACTAGAGAGTGGGGACTGGTCAGTCTATGTCATACTACAGAGGACTGGTTAGTCTTATCACACTAGAGAGTGGGGACTGGTCAGTCTTTATCATACTACAGGGGACAGACTGGTCAGTATTTATCATACTACAGGGGACAGACTGGTCAGTCTTATCACACTAGAGAGCGGGGACTGGTCAGTCTATGTCATACTACAGAGGACTGGTTAGTCTTATCACACTAGAGAATGGGGACTGGTCAGTCTTTATCACACTACAGGGGACAGACTGGTCAGGCTTTATCATACTACAGGGGGAAGACTGGTCAGTATTTATCACACTACAGGGGACAGATTGGTCAGTCTTATCACACTAGAGAGCGGGGACTGGTCAGTCTTTATCATACTACAGGGGACAGACTGGTCAGTCTTTATCATACTACAGGGGGCAGACTGGTCAGTATTTATCACACTACAGGGGACAGATTGGTCAGTCTTATCACACTAGAGAGCGGGGACTGGTCAGTCTATATCATACTACAGAGGACTGGTTAGTCTTATCACAGTAGAAAGGGCGGACTGGTCAGTCTTATCACACTAGAGAGGGGGGACTGGTCAGTCTTATCACACTAGAGAGGGCGGACTAGTCAGTCTTATCACAATAAAGAGGGAGGACTGGTCGGTCATTATCACACTAGAGAGGGGGGGGGGGGGCTGGTCAGTCATTATCACCCTACAAGGGACAGACTGGTCAGTTTTATCACACTATAGAGGACTGACTGGCCAGTCTTTATCACACTAGAGAGGGCATACTGGTCAGTCTTTATCACACTAGAGAGGGGGCACTGGTCAGTCTTTATCACACTAGAGAGGGTGGACTGGTCAGTCTTATCACACTGCAGAGGACGGACTGGTCAGTCATTATCACACTATAGAGGACTGACTGGTCAGTCTTTATTACATTAAAGAAAACCGATTGGTCAGTCTTTATCACATTAAAGAGGATGGACTGGTCAGTCTTTATATACAGCAGAAAACACCAGCTTCCTAAAGGGCTAACAGATGTAGACAATGGCACTTGATTCTTATGTGACTGAAAACCTGAATCACAGTACAAATTTAGAAAAAAAATCTTAATTTGTGAATATCTTCGAATTTTTTACAAGTTTAAAAATAATCAACTTTATAATTAGGTAAATGATGAACTGACAGTATGGTACTGTAGTGAAAGGCTGATTTTATTAAATTATGTTTCATCTGAACAGGTGTCCCGACCTGCCTCATCACGTCCCGGTACTCGCATGAGTTCGTCCAGTACTGGACCATCAGAACAACTGTTGGATGTCCTGGAGCACCTCGGAAAGCTCAGTGAATCCCACAATGCCCTACAGAAGAGGGTGGAGGACCTTGAGGTAAGGCTTCAACCAAACCACTCAGTGTAGTTGTTTATGTAATTGTAATATGTCATGTTATAAGCCCTGGGATGTAAAATAGGTTCTGGGCATATTCCTAAATCTGATATGCTACCTAGTGTATACAAGATGGTCTGGGTTATAATATATATGACCTGTATAGTTGTAAATCATTAGAATTGTGGTAGGCTTGTATGTTACTTATTACTGGTAATAATGCTGCAGGAACAATTCTGCTGAACAGTGAATTATGAGCTCGTTTTGCCTAATGGTTAAAATTTGGCTTGTACTCTGACTCCCTGGCTATGTTATTGGGAGTCAGTGATAAGTTTGGCTCATACTCTGACTCACTGGCTATGTTAATGGGAGTCAGTGATAAGTTTGACTCGTACTCTGACTCACTGGCTATGTTATTAGGCGTCAGTGATAAGTTTGGCTCGTACTTTGACTCCCTGGCTATGTTATTGGGAGTCAGTGATAAGTCTGGCTCGTACTCTGACTCACTGGCTATGTTATTGGGAGTCTGTGATAAGTTTGGCTCGTAATCAGACTCACCGACTATGTTATTGGGAGTCAGTGATAAGTTTGGCTTGTACTCCGACTCACTGGCTATGTTATTGGGAGTCAGTGATGAGTTTGACTCGTACTCTGACTCACTGGCTATGTTATTAGGCGTCAGTGATAAGTTTGGCTCGTACTTTGACTCCCTGGCTATGTTATTGGGAGTCAGTGATAAGTTTGACTCGTACTCTGACTCACTGGCTATGTTATTAGGCGTCAGTGATAAGTTTGGCTCGTACTTTGACTCCCTGGCTATGTTATTGGGAGTCAGTGATAAGTCTGGCTCGTACTCTGACTCCCTGGCTATGTTATTGGGAGTCAGTGATAAGTTTGGCTTGTTCTCTGAACCACTGGCTATGTTATTGGGAGTCTGTGATAAGTTTGGCTCGTACTCTGACTCACTGGCTATGTTATTGGGAGTCAGTGATAAGTTTGACTCGTACTCTGACTCACTGGCTATGTTATTAGGAGTCAGTGATAAGTCTGGCTCGTACTCTGACTCACTGGCTATGTTATTGGGAGTCTGTGATAAGTTTGGCTCGTACTCTGACTCACCGACTATGTTATTGGGAGTCTGTGATAAGTTTGGCTCGTACTCAGACTCACCGACTATGTTATTGGGAGTCAGTGATAAGTTTGGCTCGTACTCTGAGTCACTGGCTATGTTATTGGGAGTCTGTGATAAGTTTGGCTCATACTTTGACTCATTGGCTATGGTATTGAAGTCAGTGCTAAGTTTGGCTCGTTCTTGACTCACTGGCTATGTTATTGGGAGTCTGTGATAAGTTTGGCTAATACTTTGACTCATTGGCTATGGTATTGAAGTCAGTGCTAAGTTTGGCTCGTTCTTGACTCACTGGCTATGTTATTGGGAGTCAGTGCTAACTCTTTTGATTGTTCATATTATTTCATAACCATTTTGAAACTGAACAACAGTGATCGAGTGAGATTAAAAAAAAAAAATGTTCATATGTTTGCTTGCGGCCCAGGAGTATTCTAACATTGATATTCTGGGACCCTTAAACTGTACAGCATGCAGACGGCTACCTCTTTGACAATGTGTAGCTGGGGTATCCTAATGGTTAAAATTTGGCTTGTACTCTGACTCACTGGCTATGTTAATGGGAGTCAGTGATAAGTTTGACTCGTACTCTGACTCACTGGCTATGTTATTAGGAGTCAGTGATAAGTTTGGCTCGTACTTTGACTCACTGGCTATGTTATTGGGAGTCAGTGATAAGTTTGGCTTGTACTCTGACTCACTGGCTATGTTATTGGGAGTCAGTGATAAGTCTGGCTCGTACTCTGACTCACTGGCTATGTTATTAGGAGTCAGTGATAAGTTTGGCTCGTACTTTGACTCACTGGCTATGTTATTGGGAGTCAGTGCTAACTCTTTTGATTGTTCATATTATTTCATAACCATTTTGAAACTGAACAACAGTGATCGAGTGAGATTAAAAAAAAAAAATGTTCATATGTTTGCTTGCGGCCCAGGAGTATTCTAACATTGATATTCTGGGACCCTTAAACTGTACAGCATGCAGACGGCTACCTCTTTGACAATGTGTAGCTGGGGTATCCTAATGGTTAAAATTTGGCTTGTACTCTGACTCACTGGCTATGTTAATGGGAGTCAGTGATAAGTTTGGCTCTTACTCTGACTCACTGGCTATGTTAATGGGAGTCAGTGATAAGTTTGGCTCTTACTCTGACTCACTGGCTATGTTAATGGGAGTCAGTGATAAGTTTGACTCGTACTCTGACTCACTGGCTATGTTATTAGGAGTCAGTGATAAGTTTGGCTCGTACTTTGACTCACTGGCTATGTTATTGGGAGTCAGTGATAAGTTTGGCGCATACTTTGACTCACTGGCTATGGTATTGGAGTCATTGATAAGTTTGGCTCGTTCCTTGACTCACTGGCTATGGTATTGGAGTCAGTGATAAGTTTGGCTCCTTCTTGACTCACTGGCTATGTTATTGGGAGTCTGTGATAAGTTTGGCTCGTACTCAGACTCACCGACTTTGTTATTGGGAGTCAGTGATAAGTTTGGCTCGTGGGCTGACAATGGCTATGTTATTGAGAGTCAGTGATAAGTTTGGCTCATACTTTGACTCGCTGGCTATGGTATTGGAGTCAGTGATAAGTTTGGCTCCTTCTTGACTCACTGGCTATGTTATTGGGAGTCAGTGCTAACTCTTTTGATTGTTCATATTATTTCATAACCATTTTGAAACTGAACAACAGTGATCGAGTGAGATTAAAAAAAAAAAATGTTCATATGTTTGCTTGCGGCCCAGGAGTATTCTAACATTGATATTCTGGGACCCTTAAACTGTACAGCATGCAGACGGCTACCTCTTTGACAATGTGTAGCTGGGGTATCCTAATGGTTAAAATTTGGCTTGTACTCTGACTCACTGGCTATGTTAATGGGAGTCAGTGATAAGTTTGACTCGTACTCTGACTCACTGGCTATGTTATTAGGAGTCAGTGATAAGTTTGGCTCGTACTTTGACTCACTGGCTATGTTATTGGGAGTCAGTGATAAGTCTGGCTCGTACTCTGACTCACTGGCTATGTTATTAGGAGTCAGTGATAAGTTTGGCTCGTACTTTGACTCACTGGCTATGTTATTGGGAGTCAGTGATAAGTTTGGCTCGTTCTTGACTCACTGACTATGTTATTGGGAGTCTGTGATAAGTTTGGCTCATACTTTGACTCATTGGCTATGGTATTGAAGTCAGTGATAAGTTTGGCTCGTTCTTGACTCACTGGCTATGTTATTGGGAGTCAGTGATAAGTTTGGCTCATACTTTGACTCACTGGCTATGGTATTGGAGTCAGTGATAAGTTTGGCTCGTTCCTTGACTCACTGGCTATGTTATTGGGAGTCAGTGATAACTCTTTTGATTGTTCATATTATTTCATAACCATTTTGAAACTGAACAACAGTGATCGAGTGAGATTAAAAAAAAAAAATGTTCATATGTTTGCTTGCGGCCCAGGAGTATTCTAACATTGATATTCTGGGACCCTTAAACTGTACAGCATGCAGACGGCTACCTCTTTGACAATGTGTAGCTGGGGTATCATTTGTAGGACCATGCATATTATCATTATACCCTAGTGTCAACTCGTCAGAGAAAAATTCAGATACATAAGTGGTCTGTTATCAATTTAAATGGCTTCTGAGATAGCCATGAACAAATAAGCTTCAGCTTGTTTTTAGCTCACCTAGCCCAAAGGGCCAAGTGAGCTTAACCCATGCTGTAGCGTCCGTCGTCCGTCAACTTTTTCCTTTAAAACGCTACTAGCCCTGAACGGCTCGGATTTTGACCAAATTTGGTCTGGAGCATCAATGGCCAAAGGGTTCTCAGTTTTGTATAAACGGAGGGTATGGGCCCCCTGGGGGCATAGGGGCAGGGCCAAATAGGGGGAAAATAGGTAAATCTTTAAAAATCTTCTTCTTCTTCTCGACCAATAGAAGGATTTTGACCAAATTTGTCCAAGAGCATCTTTGGACAAAGGAGACTCAAGTATAAACGGAGGGTATGGCCCCTCTGGGGGCACAGGGGCGGGGCCCAATAGGGGAAATAGAGGATATTTTTTCTCCTGCTATACAAGAGAAGGGATTTAAACCAAATGCAGTCTGAAGCATGATTAGGGACAAAAGAATCAATTTTTGAATTTTACTGAGGTGTGTGGGCCCCCTTCTTTGGGCCATATGGGTGGGGCCCATTAGGGGAAATAGAGGAAAACATTAAAGATCCTTCTTCTGGTACCATTGAAGGGGTTTTGACCAAATTTGGTCTGAAGCATCATTGGCCAAAGGGTTCTCAGTTTTGTATAAACGGAGGGTATGATCCCCCTGGGGGCAGAGGGACGGGGCCAAATAGGGGAAAAATAGGTAAATCTTTAAAAATCTTCTTCTTCTCAACCAATAGAAGGATTTTGACCAAATTTGTTCTAGAGCATCTTTGGACAAAGGAGTCTCAAGTTTGTATAAACTGAGGTGTGTGGACCCCCTTCTTTGGGGCAGAGGGGTGGGGCCCAATAGGGCAAATAGAGAAAAAATATTTTCCCTTCTGTATAAATGAAGGGATTTAAACCAAATGTGGTCTGAAGCAAGCTTAGGGGAAAAAATCTCCAATTTGTATAAAAAGGTGCATGTGAGGCCCAATAGGGGAAATAGAGGAAAATTGGGACATAACATGGAAACTCATTTTCTTGGTGTCTTTCCCACTAAAACGGATTTATATGTAGTTCTTCTTGCAACTTTGTTTCTTGTACTCCTTTGATAAACCTGAATTGTACTCGGCAGGGGTTTTAAATTGAAAAATAAAATACCAGGTGAGCTATTAAGGCCCCTGGGCCTCTTGTTTATTTCTCCGCTGAAAACTTTCTGATCGAAAAACAATACAAAATGTTCTTCTTCACTAAAATGCATGTCGCATCTTATACTAACTGCTTGTGGTTTTCAGTTAGTTTATCAATCAAAAGTTGTCTTTAGGTGTCTCCTTCCTCAACCTAACTTCCCACAAAAGTCAATACCTGAATTAAAGTTTAAATAAGTTGAATGCATCATGACATTAAATATAACACTTCTGTACTGATTCTGGTTTGTAGGCTGAGATAAAGAATAAGATGGACAAGACAGATCTTGAAAACCTGAGTGAGTAGAAATGTTATTGTTGAAATAAAACATGAATGTGCTGGATTTTCTTGAGCTTTGTCATTTGAAATTGATGTTGATTAGTTATTTATGTTTTATTTATGTTTTTTTGTTTTAGATCTGTCCTCAGACATGCTTGAGCAGCTTGCTAAGCTGAAGGCAGAGCTTGATGCCTTACAACAAGCCAGGGACAAGGTAAGCTCCCAGATCGCGGCTACAATAACTGTGTGTATCTGTATACTAGCCTGCCTAACATTCTCATGTAACAAGACTCAATCATGTATTGCTACTGCTTCAAAATTCATTAACCATGTATAGCTAGTCTCATATAATTACACTGTTAAAGGCTCACAGATAAAGTTCGTTTTTTCATTATTTCACCAAATACTTGTGAATCATGTTTGTAACCATTAGTGTTTGTACTGTATATAACTGTGTTATGCACTTGTGAATATTTAATCAGAGATATATCATTGCACACCTGTATGTAATTGTCATTGATCAATGGCCCAGGGTGTGCATGTCACCATCAGCAATGTAACCATTAACATTCACACGAGAATTACACGAGATAAGCATTATGGTTCCCAGGACAACAATTTAGTAGGGTTCTATGACAACCGTTGTAGAACGATTGTAAAGATTTAGTGCTTCACCGAAACAACATAAGGGTTCTAGGACAAACCTTGTACTAACTCTTAGGGTTTTAAAGATAAAAGTTTATCAATTGAGCATTAGGGAGTTGTATTGGAAACTCTGTACAAACTCAAAGGTTTCTAGGATAAGTATTTCATTATAAGAGTATCATTAGGGGTTCTAGGGCAACCTTTGCACCGATTTTGAAAAATCATAGTTAGGACAAACATTTCACCAATGCTGGAAGGTCCTACACATTAGCATTTGTAACAGTACTAGACAGGGTTAGAATTTCTAGAATTTTGGAGAAGAACTATTTTACCGCTCTTTGTCATCAAGAAAATAGGAGAAATTTCAATTGGGGAAAACAAATATCCAAATGTGTTATACCACCTATGTACATCAGCCTCCTAGGTTCCTGGACAATACTTTTATATTGATGTTACCAGTCCTGTATTTTATATACACATGAATCTAACCTGCACTCCCTTTCTCTCTCCTATCTCCTATCTTGCCATTCTTAAGGCCATCAAGTTCAAGACAGGTAAGCGAAGTGGTAAGATTGGCCCATTGTCTGAGTCGGATGAGAGTAGTAGTGGAGGTGAGACAACAGAGACAGACAGTCAAGAGGAGCTTGAAGAGCTCAATAAACACGAACTCACGGCCATTGCCATAGACGCCCTGTCTAACAAGGTAACAGTGATGGAGGACCGACTCAAGGTGTTCCAGGATATGATGATGGATGATAGCGCCTACCAAAGTGATGTCACTGACCTGCGGTCATGGCTCACTGGTATGGAGCAGAGACCAGACCCATTGGCAGACCTTGAAATGACCACCAGCGAGAATGATATCACTCCCAAACCTCCCAGTCCGAAGGTATCTACTTCCGTAGAGAAAACACCAGTCAAAGCTGAAGAAGTCGAACCTGAAGTCAAAGAAACCAAAGGGAAGGAAAGTCCACCGGCAAACAAAAAGAAGGTATCAAGTGGTGAAAACCTGGCTAACGTGAAATTTGAACAAGATATTATGGACATCTTTACTAGGAACACATCTGATGTTGACGGTCAAGTGGAGGATATGAAAAACATGATGAATATGTCTTCAGAAGAGATTTCCAAAGCCAACAACAAGATCCGCACACTTGCAGCTGTACTAAATGACCAACTTCAGGATGTCCGTGACAAAATCTTCACCCTCGATCACGACCTCAAAAGAATGGCCCGCGGCATTGAGTTTGCACTGCTCAGATCAAAGGTTGCTGGAACAAATGATTTGGTCAGTTCTATCATTATTTCTGTTTCACTATTGACTGTTTTTAATGTTTCTATTTTACAATTGCAGCATAACATTTGAAATTTCATTCATCAGCTACATTGTATTCTGAACTATCACTAACATTGTTGTAACCATTTTATATTGCTTCCATAAACGTGGGTATGAAGATGGATAGGCTTGAGGAAAGTCTAAAGGAGGGCAACATATTATCAGATGATGGTAAAGTAACATTCACACGGGATCGTGTGTCTAGTGGCTCCACAACAGGAGAGTCTTCTGTGAGGGGAGGGGCCACCACACCCAGTACAGACATAGCCTCTCCTACAGGGGTTATTGTCCCTGTAAACAAGGTGTCCAGTTCCCAGGGAGGTAGAGACTTTCCTGGGGCTACCCAGAGACAGAGGGGTGCGCCTCAGCTTACCCAGGGATCTAGAGACTCTCCTGGGGCTAAGGGTTCCATACCTGAGGTTGATCAGGTAGCTGGTTTTGACAGCATGTTCCCTTCTGATTTAATGGTCATTGTACCATCACTTCTCCCTTCACTTCTGTTAACCTATGTGATTGTCACGCTTCTGTTTCGATGGTCAAACCAACCAACTCCCTACACTTTTAAACCTATTTCTTCTCATTTTTTCTTTTCTGTTTCAAAGGTCAAACCATCCAACTACGTACCCTTAGAATCTTTATGTGTGATTGTCTCTTTTGTTTCATTATAGTTATACCATCTGACTCCCTACACTTACAAGCTGTCTAATAGATACTGTACACCCACGCTACATGTGTACACAACCCTTATAGTCTTTGTGTAAATATAGTGTATTTCTAGGAGTGACCCAAACACCAAATCTGATTTGCATGTTATCTGATTTCTGTTATGTAAAGCTATTTTAGCCTTTAGTATTGAGCTGTAGATGTATTTACGTGGCCCTCAGTAAAGTTAGGGTGTGGTAAATGTGCCTTGGTGTACCATCGCCTTAGTTTGAATATCTAGGGATTATGTGATTCCTCAGGTATATAGCGAGATTTGATATATGTATAACATGGTATGGTGTATCAAGTTTCAGAAGCATGAAAGTTTCAAAGACATTTAAAATCATATATTTAAATATGTGACATACGTGTCACTATAAAATTTATATTGGAGCTTGTTACAGCAAATTTAAATCTTCAGTATAAGGCCGTTAAATTACCATGATGAACTTGGCCTATAAAATCACTTCTCTTTCCCTAATGGCGTGGCTAGTTGCCACAGGACTTGAGTAGGAGTTATTATATAAGTATGCTGGATCCTGACTCACTGCAGTCTAGCACTGACTTAGTGAGTATAAGAGAGGTTAGAATGAGCTTGATTCACTGTAGCAAAACCCCTGCCCAGTGAGTCAGGACGTACAGTACCAAGACTGTTACTCCTTCGAACAAACACCTCATTTTTATCCAATTTTACAAACAGGTTCTTAAATTTCACTGTGATACAGGTATGAAATGTTGTGTTGTGTTTGTGTATTAGATCCTATCAGCGTTAATACCCCATTAGTGACTGAGTGGGTCTTGTTGCGGACTAAAACAATGAGCCCACTGTGATGGTTTGACAGGGTACAAGTGGGATTATTGGATGCATAACCAAGTCTTCATGCATTTCTTTTATTTTCTGTGTAACTTTCATTTCAACCGTAATAATTGCTATAATTTCCTCATCAAGAATGTGTAAAATTATTGGAGATAATTATGTTCCTGCTTTTAGTTAGAACTGCATGCATGCCTGAACCTTTTGTGATGACAAACCCCCTGTAGAACTTCAGCCATGCCTTGTGGTCAGGCATTGTTACTGGACAATTCTACTGAAAAGCATCTCACAAATGACTAACTTTCAAATCATGTTGCATGTTTAAAAATGGTGTCGGAATAAAACATGTCATAATGTATCTTCAAAATGAAAAGAACATCATTAATTACATATTCTCCTAACAAATCTTATAATCATCTTTATAATGATTTCTTGACACCAAAGTTACAAAAGAAATACAATGATAATGTTGACCTTCATATCACTTGTTGTTTTGCTGACCTTGATTATCATGGTTATACAAAGTATATTGTACAGATATATGTTGACATGTGATATAGTGTTATGATGTCCATGTTATACGATGTCTATGTTGACCCTGTGGTATAATGTTATGATGTCCATGTTATACGATGCCTATGTTGACCTTGTGGTATGTCTATAGGATAGTGATGCTCTGAGTCGGGCCCAGGCAGCCATTTTACAGCTACAGGCCGACTTTGAGAGGTTACACAACACCACCAAGGACATGATGGAGGAAAACGAATCCCGCAACAAACAGATTCAGGTAGGTAGACTACACTCAATGCAGGCCAATAGGCCACTAATTACAGTGTAATATAGGTATTAAGGGTGTAAGGTATTCTAAAGGAAGGTAAGGAGATTTAGGGTGTAAGGTATTATAATGGAAGGTAAACAGATAAAGGGTGTAATTAAGGTATTCTAATGGAAGGTAAACAGATAAAGGGTGTAAGGTATTCTAATGGAAGGTAAACAGATAAAGTGTTTAAGGTATTCTAATGGAAGGTAAACAGATTTGGGGTGTAAGGTATTATAATGGAAGGTAAACAGATAAAGGGTGTAATTAAGGTATTCTAATGGAAGGTAAACAGATAAAGGGTGTAAGGTATTATAATGGAAGGTAAACAGATTTAGGGTATAAGGTATTCTAATGGAAGGTAAACAGATAAAGGGTATAAGGTATTATAATGGAAGGTAAACAGATAAAGGGTGTAAGGTATTCTAATGGAAGGTAAACAGATTTAGGGTGTTAGGCATTCTAATGGAAGGTAAATAGATTTATGGTGTAAGGTATTCTAATGGAAGTTAAACAGATTTAGGGTATAAGGTATTCTAATGGAAGGTATACAGATAAAGGGTGTAAGGTATTATAATGGAAGGTAAATAGATTTAGGGTGTAAGGTATTCTAATGGAAGTTAAACAGATTTAGGGGATAAGGTATTCTAATGGAAGGTATACAGATAAAGGGTGTAAGGTATTATAATGGAAGGTAAACAGATAAAGGGTGTAAGGCATTATAATGGAAGGTAAATAGATTTAGGGTGTAAGGTATTCTAATGGAAGGTAAACAGATAAAGGGTGTGAGGTATTCTAATCGAAGGTAAACAGATTTAGGGTGTAAGGTATTCTAATGGAAGTCTAATGGAATATAGGTAAACAGATAAAGGGTGTTAGGTATTCTAATGGAAGGTAAACAACAGATAAAGGGTGTAAGGTATTCTAATGGAAGGTAAACAGATTTAGGGTGTAAGGTATTCTAATGGAAGGTAAACAGATAAAGGGTGTAAGGTATTCTAATTGAAGGTAAACAGACTAAGGGTGCAAGGCATCTTAATGGAAGGTAAACAAATTCAAGGTGTTTAGGGTGTAAGGTATTCTAATGGAAGGTAAACAGATTTAGGGTGTAAGGTATTCTAATGGAAGGTAAACAGATTTAGGGTGTAATGTATTCTAATGGAAGGTTAGGAGATTTAGGGTGTAAGACATTCTAATGGAAGGTAAACAGATTTACGGCGTTAGGTATTCTAATGGCTTACAAACAAATTTAGGGTGTAAGGCATTCTACTGGCTTTTCAAACAGATTTTGGGTGTAATCCATTCCAATGGCTTACAAACAGACAAGGGGTTAAGGTCTTCTATTGCCCGGCAAACAGATTTAAGGTGTATTTGTATAAATGGCAGGCAAACAGAGAATGCAGCAGAACCAACAAAATCGAAATACACATTACAAAAACAAAACAAAAGCATACTTATTTTGCAAACAAAATGAAAGACGATTAATGTAAGTCAGGCATACTAAAGTTGAAAGCTGTGAAAAAAACAAATATAGAAAATGGACGCAATAGTCATAGTACCCAAATCAGGAAAAAAACAAATATAGAAAATGGACTCGATAGTCATAGTACCCAAATCAGAAAAAAAACAAATATAGAAAATGGACTCGATAGTCATAGTACCCAAATCAGGACCGAGTTTTGACTGGGATTTATTGAATATAATGGATAGATCAAGCTTTGGTTTGTTTTTGCAGTCCAGACCATTAAACAGTTTTCTTGCTTTTATCTCTGTTGTACGTTTTTAATTGATCACATTTTCCTAGCAATTGTACATTCGCATATCTACCTACAGGTATGTTCAAATGCACACCTTTTTGGAGGGGTTTTCCATAGACTGTCATCTAAAACATTTCCTCCAAAAGGTTTAAAAAACACATGTTTTCCCTGTTTTTGCTTTGGTAAGACATCTTTTTCAAAAGTTTTATTTTTGTTCCATTTTTGAAAGGCTTAATGGGAAAATAACACTAATTTCATACACAAGTGGTTAAATGACCAAAACGTATGCATGTCAAGTAAATGTTACCAATATCTAAATGGTCAAGAGTCTTGTAAATGAAAGTGTCCTGATTTCGAAAACAGTCCAAATGGGTGCCATATGACATTAAGCTAAACTGATGGAAAACAGGCTGATGTTGATACATGTATCGTGAATAGCAAACTGAAAGATATCTCATTGTATTTATGTAATGGGTTCATATTTTATATAATTTGATGAATAGATATGTTTGTTTTTGCAAGAAAGAAAAAAATTCTAGAGTTGAAAAAATTTAATTACAGATCCGAAGCATATAAGGGTAACAGTACAATAAAGTAAAGTTTTGGTTGTTTAATAACTATCGGTAATGAGCGTGGGATAGTTTGATATCAACAGTTGACGCGTTAACTGGTTCCTGACAAATGTTTATTGAAGTTTACTATAGTGTTTTACCAATACAGAGTGTGCTATGAGAGCCAGAAAAAGACTAACAGAATTGTTCATTGTTGTGTTCTGTTTGTGTGTCGCAGATACAGCCGTTGATATGTATAAACACTTCAACCCGCTAACTAGGGGAAAAGGCCCAGAATAGACACAAATACCTAGGTATATAGGAAAGGTGTGAGCCTGCATTAAACACCCAATATACACTGAATGGTCCATTTAAAGGTTTAGGGATTAAATCAGGCATAACATTTGCATAGCTGAATCGATATTATAGGGACTATGTAAGACTAGAGTTCAAAGGGAGCATACAAAATGAGTAAATGCTTTTAAAACTAATTAAAGGCCAGTGGACCTAGTGCGTCAGAATGTTTTCTACATTTTTTACCTGTGTTATTGACATAGCGTGTTCTGTTCAATGTACTGGTAAACCCAGTCATAATCACACAATGGAAATCTGTGTGCTAATTGATATTACCAGGTAAAGAAACCTGTAAAATTATGATTGGTAAATAAAAAGTAATGAATGTGTTTGAATAAGGATATAAATGGAGCCATGCCATGTCAAGAGTATTACTACATTAGTACATGTATCACTGATGGGTTACTCTGTTATATGATGGGAACAGGGATGTAATATAATATCATCTAATGTCTTGAGTTTTCTCTCAAAAACACCAAACACAAGTTGAAATACTAAACGTCATCCCAGACCTAGATAACTCTGATCTCATGGCTTTGAGTTTAGTTCACCTTGTCTAGACCTAGATAACTCTGATCTCATGGCTATGAGTTTAGTTCACCTTGTCTAGACCAAGATAACTCTGATCTCATGGCTATGAGTTTAGTTCACCTTGTCTAGACCTAGATAACTCTGATCTCATGGCTATGAGTTTAGTTCACCTTGTCTAGACCTAGATAACTCTGATCTCATGGCTATGAGTTTAGTTCACCTTGTCTAGACCTAGATAACTCTGATCTCATGGCTATGAGTTTAGTTCACCTTGTCTAGACCTAGATAACTCTGATCTCATGGCTATGAGTTTAGTTCACCTTGTCTAGACCTAGATAACTCTGATCTCATGGCTATGAGTTTAGTTCACCTTGTCTAGACCTAGATAACTCTGATCTCATGGCTATGAGTTTAGTTCACCTTGTCTAGACCTAGATAACTCTGATCTCATGGCTATGAGTTTAGTTCACCTTGTCTAGACCTAGATAACTCTGATCTCATGGCTATGAGTTTAGTTCACCTTGTCTAGACCTAGATAACTCTGATCTCATGGCTATGAGTTTAGTTCACCTTGTCTAGACCTAGATAACTCTGATCTCATGGCTATGAGTTTAGTTCACCTTGTATAGACCTAGATAACTCTGATCTCATGGCTATGAGTTTAGTTCACCTTGTCTAGACCTAGATAACTCTGATCTCATGGATATGAGTTTAGTTCACCTTGTCTAGACCTAGATAACTCTGATCTCATGGCTATGAGTTTAGTTCACCTTGTCTCTCAGATTTCAGTAGACTAATTGTCTTAAATGTAGTTCAGTTTCAGAGCATTTTATCCCTTTTTCTGTGAAAATGAACTGTAACACTGTATTGTACTAATTAAGTAAATACATACAGTTGACAGAGATTTTGTGTTGAACAGGACCTTTTGGCCTACTGTGACAGGCTCAATGAGAACAAGGCGGACAAGGAGTATGTACAGATGGAGGTAGATGTGGTAAGTATTCTGATCACTCGGCTTAACTTACATCCAACAAATCCTCCAAGTCAATCACTACAATCATGTATTCTTCATAACTCACCATCCCTTAGATGTGCCAGGAGACACTTCTATACTCTATATTACACAGAACTGTATAAAAACCATTGAATTTTTGCACATGTTTTGGTCTTTCAGACTAAATAAATGAATCAGAATTGTTGACCCTATGTTGAGTTCAATCAGTCAAGAGATAGTTAAAAAGACATTAATGTAACAAAAAAATCATGTTTCATGTTACCATTTTTTGATTATGAAAGAATTGTGTAGCTCTGTTAGCACAAGTGACACAGATGTTTTGGTGTGGTTATTTTACAGAAAGCAGACAAGCGTTCCCTTGACAACAAAGTCAACCACAGCCTGTTTGACAGCACAACCAATGACATCAACAGGATGATCAAGGAAATCCTCGACAAACTCTCCGGATATGTACGTAGAATACCAGAATATTGATCATACAAATCTTATCTTGAGCGGGTGAAAATAGTTATAAGCTCACCTAAAGGTCAGCTTAGTACTGGTGGTCATTGTAACGTAAATGTCTGGGCGAACTGCTTATCTAGGCTCGTCACTTCAGGTTTAATCGGAGGCGCCCACCGCTAATCTGTTAAAAGTATGTTATCAGGAAAGAATTAGATACTATTAATCCAATAATTGTTCAATTATATTTCATTGGAATCTAGATACCAATAATGTGTTGTTTGACCAAAGATAGCTGTGTTCGACCATTTGACCATGTGTGATTGACCATTGAGTATTGACGGTTGTGTAGGAAGACAATTTTAACACCACCTGTCACAAAATTAATGAGGACATAGATGGCAAGCTTGACCGCCTGGAGCTTGACCCTCTTAAGGAATGGCTGGAAAGTCGTCTGAAGGCCCTGAACGACAAGCTGAAGCGCACACAGGTGTCAACGGAATGGGGTGAGGACGATGCTGCCGGGATCAGGAAGTGAGTCTCATTGCTAAAAACTCATCTTACTTTCTGTGAATAAAGCTTCCTTTCCAAATTTAGAGTCATCCATCCATTAAATAAACTTAAGATTTATCACCATAGCTCCCCTCGACCTCCTCCTCCCTAATCCTGCCCCCCATGACCCCTCTTGACATACCTCCCTTGTGAATACAGTGCTGCAGCACCTTACTGAATGTATATTGTACTTTATAATCATACAAGTGTTCCATCAAATCCGATGATTGACACTAAATCCTGTGTAAACAATGTAAAATGATAAAAAGTGCAGTAGTTATTTGTTTTTGAAAACCTCTTTGAAAACTAAGAGGGAACTTAGACCGTATAACTTCACCATGCTAGCTGATCTGTTTACATTGCAGCTTCTGTCAACTGTTGTGCAAAATTTTATTAATTTATTGTGACTTAAAACTCATACCATATAATCAGGTCATAAATGAAATACAAATTTATAGATTTACCTTTGAAGCATTAAGAATTTATCTGACATTTATTTGTTTTTGTATTAAATGAACTTAATTATTTTTGTTGTACCTAGGGTTTAGTTATTAATTTCTACTTGTGTATTTCCATTTTCTCTCAGGGATCCTTGTGATACACTTCATTAATCAAAGCTTGGCAACTGGCCTTGTTCATAGAGCTTTACTCATCCTCACCAGATCAATTATGTAAGGCTCATTGTATAAGCTGTCTGAGGCTGTAATTTTGAGTATGGTTTATTTTTCAATAGGCAATTGATCCAGAAATTCCACTGCATTTCCTGTGACAGACCTGTTGACCTCATGCCAACGGGGTAAGCTAACAATTCATCATATTCATGGACCAAAATACAAGATAATGTTTATAAAATGGAAGATAATTGGACGAAATACAGAAAAAATAATCCTTCAGGAATTCATTGGAGATGAAGAACTCTGTACTTGTGTAGTAATTGTAGGAAAAGGCGTTCAAAACGGAATGGAAAACTAGGAGCTTAATTAAAACATGTTAAAGTAAGAAAGTTCTAAATATTTGAGAAGGCGTTGTATGCAGGAACAATTAATTCAAATGACATTTGATGATTTGTGGTATATACAATGTGAATTCCTGACTTTGTAACGTTGTTACCACAGGCCAGTGCCCTCTCTGCCTTCACACAGTGGACTGGCACCCACACGGTCACCACGACCTTACACGACATATGAGCTTGATCAGATCCGTCAGCATGCCAAGAGGTGAGATACGCTGAATGTAAAACCCTTATGTCTCGGTCATTAAAGGTTACATGTCAGCTTGTCATTGAATTGTATTGACCAATGAACGTTGTCCCCTGTCTTTTATAGTAACCAAGAAAGGCTACCCTTCTGCTTGTCATATAATCTAGCAACCAATGAGCTCTCTCCCCCTGTTTCCCATAGTAACCAAGGAAGACTATCTGTCTGCTTGTTACAGAATCTAATAACCAATGAGTGCTCTCCCCGTTTCCAATAGTAGCCAAGGAAATCTATCTCCTCCCAATTATATGCTGTACTAGATGACCTCCTCTTTATAGCGGTACTTGTCCTCAAATTGTTTCTGGCTAATCTGTTTAAACAAAAAGCTGTCCTTAGTGTGAATATTTTAGAGCACTTTCCAATTGTATGAAGAGCTCTTCAGTGATACTACATCAAATTCCTTATGATATTGTTGTATCTAGAAATAACTCTGTAATGGATAGTACATTGTTTGTTCTGTTACTGGACATGTTGATTGATGTGATAAAACTTTAACAGTACTAAGAACTTGTCATGTTAGAATTGATATTTGATACAGTACAGTAAGATTTCAAATGACTGCATAATGCTTTGAAGCTGTGGGGCTAACATTGTTAATTCTCATTGCCATAATCAATGCATTGAGAGTCCTATAGCGAAGTTTTACAAATTAACACTTGGCAAAAATCTAGTATAATCTGAACAACACATTAGTTCAGTGCCAGCAGAATTTTGTGCCTGTGTTTATATTTTAGTATTTTCAGCAAAATAGGAATATAGAAAAAAAGCGCCCACAAAATATAAGCACTATGCAGTTTTTGGTTTTTGTTTATATTGATTTGCTATTTTCTATTTTTTGCTTTGTATTATTTCATTGCTGGATTGATGTATATGTTGCTGTCTTTATCACCTAACCTAGGTTTCTGTGTGGCTGTCTGTCATATTTATATACTGTTGTAATATTGTTTACCTAAACAGAATGTACGCCGGTACAGACAAGCCCAGTGCTCGGTAACTGTACTAGAATATATATCTTCTAGTTTGGAATGAACTCAACTTCCTGAACTATATATCATCTGTACTAACAATTCTATGCTCCATAAACAACTAATTATTTGTGCCATGCCTTTACTCCTCCCATGACTCATTGGAAGCCAGCCCCTTTCCCTGAAGTGCCACGCCCCTCCTCACTAGTGCTTTGTGGTATGCGGTGCTATACTGTCACATCAAAAATCAATTATACATGTTGTATTTCCTTGCACAATTTCCCCAAACATTTACCTGCAACCTTCCTATCACCTCCAACATTGCATTACAGAATATTTACCATTAAACTCCGCTGTCTATCTCTGTATATCACAGTATACAAGATTTGATACCGCTGTCTATCTCTGTATATCACTGTATACCAGATCTGATACCGCTGTCTATGTCTGTATATCACAGTATACAAGATCTGATCCCGCTGTCTATCTCTGTATATCACTGTATACCAGATCTGATACTGCTGTCTATCTCTGTATATCACTGTATACCAGATCTGATACTGCTGTCTATCTCTGTATATCACAGTATACAAGATCTGATACCGTTGTCTATCTCTGTATATCACAGTATACAAGATCTGATACCGCTGTCTATCTCTGTATATCACATAATACAATACCGCTGTCTATCTCTGTATATCACAGTATACAAGATCTGATACCGCTGTCTATCTCTGTATATCACAGTATACAAGATTTGATACTGCTATCAAATGTTCATGTCCTCAAGTCACCTTAGATTATCACCGATCCTTTTGATCAACAAATGCCCCCTTCACCCTTCCAAGCTCCTCAATCACGGAATGCGTGAATAGGTGGTATAGGCACTCACTTTCTGCACGAGGTCATTTTCGGGACATTTACTTTTTTCCTGTGTCAATATCATGTTATATTATATGATGGATTGTTCTCTAAATATTGCTACAGAGCTACAATATTTGGCCAGAACATTCTGCCAGTCCTTTAATGTGAGTGTAAATCATATTTGTTGTCAATATTGACATGGCTACAACTTGTTGGCCCAGTCTATATTGGCTTTCTAAACGCCCTAAATCAAGCCTGGTTTGGATGGGAAATCACTTATAGGGGTTCGCTGGTGGTAATCATTGTAAGTACTGTTTGCTGTCTGTATTGTAGACTCCTCGTCGTGTACACAGCAAACACAAACGGAAACAAACTCCATTCACTATTGACGTATATAGTCTGGCAAACTCTTACATTTAAATTTTCTTTTATCAATTAAAGGTGTCATTTCTTTTAATTCTAAAATTCTGATATTTTACCTGTATACATTGTATTTGAAATTGAATATTTTCATACAATGAAATTTAAACTTATCATAGAAGATTATTTCTTACCTGGCTGTTTAAACTTACCTGTGACGGTGATATCTTACCTGGCTGTTGGGTGTGGTAACGAAACCTGTTAGTGTTATAACTGTCCACAATCCAGTATGCGATTGCCATCCAATCAATGACTGTATTTCATTAGTGTTTGTATATTTGCATGCGCTAGTTTGTTTTAGACCTGTGACAGCTGAGTTGCTTGGTATATATATATAGTCTTGTATGCTGTGTCACTAAGTTACAGAAGCCAGTCATAGACAAACATAAACACACAAACAGTTCCAGTGATAAAAAAAAGATACAATACATAATCTTCTGGGTCATTTTCAGTCTGAATTATTGATTTAAAAACAACTCAGCTCTCTCAGGACAAATATTATCATTTCTAGAATTACAAGTGTGCCTGTATTTTTCTGACTATTCAAGTGTTTGTTTCAGAGCAAAAGATAGATAATGTTATGTTGTTCTGAGAAAAAATGATTGTTGACTAATTATGGTCAGCCACCAAGATGTATAACTCATTGTTAGATTTGGATAGTAATTAAGACTGGTCACTGAATAGTCAGACAGGCATTGTGTATGTGACAGATGGGACCTTGGTTAAGTCAGTAAGGACGGTACCTGTAATTCCTCGGGCTCTGTCATGCTCTCCACTGTCACCTGACTTATCCAACGGTACTCTGTATTTATCACTGTTGCACCTCCCTCATCTAATCTCATCACCTCTTTCTTTTCATTTCATTCTTCCTTTTCCCCCCCTTTGAAGTGGTCTCCTTGGAAAAAACAACATCAACTTTGAAAGAGCTCTTGCTGAAAGGGAGCTAGTGAGAATTCGTAAATCAGACTTGCGAGCCTTTTTTGTTCATTTTGGCCATGACCTTGATACTTACAAGAAACAGCGTGAGGCGTAAGTGATAGTATGCATGGAAGTACTTAATACTTCAGCGAAGTGGCAACATTATATAATATATTGAATATATGTCAAAGGTCAAGGTCAAGCAAAATCACTAGCTTCAAAAAGTTTGATGGTATTTATCCTCACTTTGTGTTGAGATTATACCTACACGCTATCACCGCTGTAGTCTGTTGTCTAATAGTATTTTATTAGTATTTTTAAAGTAAAATGAACAGTGTTTGGACTTTGTGCCAATGTCTGTAGTCTTAAGGTTAGATCGGGTAATAAAGGGGTTATGTTGGGTAACGTACGATTCAATATCTCTTCAATCACTAATGGATGGTCATACAAGATATTCATGTTCATTCCATTTATGATTTATGTTCTCTGATGTCATGATATCATAAATCTGATCTTTGTGCCTTCTTTCTTTAAAATCATAAAATGAAATTAACTTTGGTTGTCAGTCTGATATTGAACCACATTAAGGTTTATTCACCAGCAAGTTGACCCGTTTCATCACATTATCCTCACCTGTACCCTGATGTACCCTTCTTTCACACCAGGTATATCTCACCCTGATGACCTGTTAGCACCTAGCTGTGCATGAGCATGATTTACGTGGCACATTATTACTATTGTCACTTTTCTATATATGTAATCATTCTTCCTGATGATCTGGTACATCTTACGTATGACTGGAAATTGCATGTGTCTAAAAAGGCATATCTTTTCTGTGCGAGTAGCAGATATGACTGCATGAGTATTATGGGATACATTTGTTTAAGCTTCACCAACTAGCTCCTTCTGAAGCCTGCTGTGTGGATGCTGAATTGTAACAGTGGACATTGATATATTTGATAACGTTTTCCAGTCCCATTAAGAATTAACATAATCAGTCGACATCTGGTGACTTAATTAATATAAATTTGGGCTTCAATAAGAACTCTCTTTTAACATTTCTGAAATAAAACTATGAACCTGCTTAAATTTTGTACTTTCTATAACTTTAACTAACAGGTGTTGATATTATGACAGTGATCTGGAGTACGTGTATGTAACTTACCTCTGTATTGACAGCTTCGCTAACCCAGAGATAGCCGACTACTACGCCACTCAGAGAGCTTGTGGAGGGAACCACACCACAACCTTCCCTCACAAACGCATCACGCGCCTGTCACACCTCAGGTAATAGCAGTCAGACACATTTCAACTCATATACACCTGGATCATTTTTAACTTTCTTGTAACTGTGTTATCTGTATCATAGTTGCCCTTTCATCTGCAATTTGAAATCTGTAAGTGTGAGGCAACAAAATCACAAGTAGCAGACAGAAGGTAACCAAGCTGGAATCTACGCAGGGAAATAAAGGAATTCCTTTTTAAATAAGATTGTGATGGAACAAGTCCAGAACTGTTTAAACATTTGAACACGCGAATGCTGGGCTGAAAAGAAAACTTAGTTTAAGTTTTAGAAATCCCAAGAAATTGAAATGAATTCAAGATCCTTTTTTTTTTTACCTGTTTTACTAAGAACATATTTAAATGTTAGCAAAATATAAATGTGTTCTTCGACTATCATATAATCTTCAACATTGCCACAATTTGATGTTCTGATATATTGTCTTAATTTGATGTTACCTTGAGTTGTTAAGGCATGATATTATACACAAAAACATACAAAACATGGACTAATGAAGTGTGCCTCTCTTTGGTCGTCATTTACACAAGATGGTTGTGTAAAATGGCACAACCACAGAAATAAACATAGGAAAACATTCCTAAGATTGATGTTTGTGCTAACAAATATGTATCTGCTGCAAAGCGAGTCGAAAAATACACATATGTACAAGCAATAAGCTAAACTGAAATTAAAGGAAATAGTCCGAAGATTGACAGAATCAGATTTCTTATAACTAGCTGTGCATGGCAGAAATGCTTATGTATTATTGATTTTTATTGTTTTTTAAGCCATCTGTTCCGGGAGGAAGAGGAAACTGTGTACCCCCTGTACAAGTAGGTACCCTGTTGAGTACTGATCTGTCTGGTAATCTACCCAACTTAGGCAACCATTTGTTGGGTAATGCTAGTGTTTACAATTTTTCTAAATATAGAGAAGGATAGGTATAATAATGAAATGATTAAAAGCAATACTTTACTAACCTGACATAAACATATACGTGTATATACAATGTAATAGTAAAGCTACTTTGTTACCAATTCTGACTATAACTGTGTCAGCAAGTCTAGTGCTAGAAACCAGATTTCATTTCAGTAATAATTACCATAACTTTAGTATGCATATANAAGTAAAAGGTATAGACAGTGGTATTATAAGCTGTGGATGTTGTAGGGAGGAGGTGAATGTCCAGGGGGCAGATGGGCACATCTACAAGGGACGTATGGAGAAGATGGAGGCCAAATATACACAGGCACAGCAGCAGACACGTCAGGTAAGTCATCAGCTCCTAGCAAAGGTAGGTTAGTATGATTAAACATTGTTAAAATGATTCCTAGCCTGATGAATTTCAGTACTTTATTTGTAAATTACACAATGTGGTAAGAAAATATCCACACTTTTCAGGTACAACATTGAAGTTCTACGACTAGGCTTATCCAGTCCTTTGGCTTGTGCAGATAGACAGCTGTCTCATGTTGATCTCCTCTTACATTTGATTCAGTGTTGCATGTACCAGTTAATTGAAATATGTTGGGTATAAGAAATCTTCGTCTTTACAGGACCCATACAAGCTGCACTCCCAAATGCATCAGGCTCCTCCTCCCATCCACCAGACTGGCGGGCAGCGTGTCACACAGCAAACCACTTCAGTGCGTGTGGCCCGCCCCACCTCGGCACGTCCCCTCCAGTCCCCACGCCCCACATCAGGACGTGTGACCATACGGCCAGTGTCTGCTCGTGGAGGAGGGTCTAGACAAGCCTCTCCAGTGCCAGAGTCCTCCCACACCACTCCTGTCCCAGAGGAGTCTCCGCGTCTCCCAGAGGGGGACCAGCATATAGAGGTGCCTACCACTGGCAACAACTGAACGCCGATGCAATAAAACTCTAACATAGTGTATTATGTAGATGTAATTTTGCACCTATTCAATTTTTTCGTATCATTCTCTGAATTGTGTGGTCATAAACTTATTGTCATTTAAAGACTGTTTCATCATGTACCTCCAGGACATGGAAGTTCTAGTTAGTTGTTCAATCTTATCCACACTCTGCGGAAAATCTAAGTGTTAGGCTTTTAATACCAGCATTACTGTATAACAAATCTGGTCTTTACATTTCTTGCCAGTGAGGAAAAATCATCAACGAAGAACTCTTGTGAAAACCCAATATTGTTTTCTATTTTTCCTTTTTATATTTTCGATACAAAAATTATCTGTTATTTTGGGTATTTTCAAAAAAGAGGAGGATCTTTTGTAACTTTTTTAAACTTTACTCATATTTGTTTTTTTTAATTAAGGTGTATTCTGTCTTAATTTAATGTCATTTACAATACATATATAATGACAAGTGTGAATGCACCGATTTTCTGTATGTGCAATGTGTATAAAATCTATACATCTATTACATGTTTTACTGTATAGCCCTGCTTTGTGTTTGTTATATTGTCAGCAATAATGTATCACCCTAGAACAGTATTGACACACGCCAGTCACTAATTGTTAAAAGTAAAGCGTATCTGTGTTACCGACACAAGTATCGGTCCCTTGTTGATACTGATACTGGCATACCTTTTACCTTGTCCAGGGATCTTTTTATGCCGTCCATTGAAAATGATACTTTGGTCCATTTTACACCATGTTGTGATTATGACTAGTGTCTATTTTATACCGTCCATTGTGACACAGGGTTGTTTTGTGTCCAACGATCATGACTCTTGGGTCTATTTTTGTGTCCGATGATTGTGACACTGGGTCTGTTTTTGTGTCCTATAATTGTGATGCTCGGTCTGTGTCCAAAGATCGTAACACTGGGTCTGTTTTATGTGTCCAAAGATTGTGACACTGTTTTTGTGTCCTATAATCGCAACACTGGGTGTCCTATAATCATGACACTTGGTCTGTTTTTGTGTCCTATAATCGCGACACTGAATCTGTTTTTGTGTCCTATAATCGTGACACTGGGTCTGTTTTTGTGTCCTATAATCATGACACTGGGTCTGTTTTGCAGCACTTCTACAGACAGTCTGTGATATACCAGTGTACATGTATATTTGGTTAAGTGCTTATCCATTTCTTGTACTAAGGTCAAAACACTGCAATAAAATTAGAAAAGCAAACTATTTTAATTAGCGTTTAAATTTTACGAATTTGTTTATGAAAGAATTTTCTTAAGCTTATTAGATTTTCACATATGATGTTTATATGTAGTGTAATTGATAACTTATTTTATTATTGGATTAAAGCTGTTTTGTAGCTATAAAGCCAGTCCTGATATATTAGTGATGTAATTATCTCAGATGTTTAGAATGTTTAGTATTTTTATCAAATAGCTGTTCTGTGATATTTTTCTCTTGTAAGTTTGCACAGATTTTACAATCTTGTTGATATTGATGGTAAATAGAAATTTGTTTTAGCAATATGTATCCATGTTGATGATGTTAGTATGAGATGTATATTGTTGTTTCCCTGAGGTCAGTCCTGTGTTATGGGGTTTAACAGGTTTATTAATCCTAAATGATTATGATGGCATTGTAACTGTAACAGCTGTCTTTGCTGTTATAAAGATCAACTTCTTACAACTTAAAACTTACTGAAACCCAATAAATTTGTCTATTGATGAAAACATTCCTTTATAATTTGGTTGTGGCGACCTCCTCATCGAAGGACTGATCTCAATGGATGTGTTATGGCTCAAACTGACGGTGCTTTACTATACTTTGAGTTGTTTGAGGGGAAGGATTTGTTGGCATTAAGTTAAGCCCAGCTTCGGGGTCATTTCTGTCTTAGGTGTACCTATAAAACAAAAAGTGCCTAAATTTGATTATAATATTTACACAAATAACAGGACCTCACTTAAGATTAATATCCACAATAACTGTATACATGTAGCACCCAGAGCAGGTCCCATCTGTCTATAACTTGTTGTATTTGTAATATGTACCACATATCATGTGTACAGAATTGTTACTGCTGATACAGACACAGGCGTGTGTGACTGGTGTAGCACTCTAATTGCGGATAAAAGTCCTGCACACATACAGTGTCAAGGAAAATGTATTTCATAGAAATCTTTACACCTGAGGGAGCATTATTGTGGGTGATCTAGTTCACAGGCTTGTTAATTCCTAGAGATGTTATATGTATCAAAGATATATAATGCTCTTACCATACTTAATTTTGTATATGTATATGTATATATTATATATGCACCAAAGTATTGTTTTTTGCCTCTGTTCAATATTTAACCCCTCCCTAGCTTAAGACACCATTCCGTCCCTATATACCATGTTGTTTGTTATCTTGTTTTCATATATTCTTTGTAATGCAGAACGTTCTGATTTAACCCAATTCCATGTGTCCATTGGTCCTCGACACAGTCAGCAAAGACTGTTCTCCCTTGTACCATTGTCTCGCTCTAGGATCATTATCTCCCCTTAACCATAGGTATCATGTCACCTTTGGATTGTTATCGTTATCTCCCCTTAGCATTAGGTATCATTACACCTTGGTTTGTTACAAATATGCACTTTATAATTCTGTATTTGATAAGTAATACATTCCAACAAGCTGTGAGTTAATATCCTATTATAATAAACAAGTTATTACTGTTTATTTATTCCTGCACGTCCTAGCAGTGAATTGATTATTTCTAAGGTATATTACTGATTGAATGGTTAAGCTGCAAACACCTGTACAAGCTTGTGTATTCTGCTAATAAACTATTTCTGATTCAAGCTGATGGCATTTGGTATTATTTCACATCTTGAAAAAAAAATGATCAACAAAACTTACCAAAGTTTCAATTCTAGTGAAGATTTTAGTAACATGTAAATTAATTACCACGTATGTGTGGACAGCTGCGGTGACCGATGGATAATGCTAGCACTGTACTGGGAACATAGGGCAGAAAGTAAACGGGCAGAAAGTATAACTTACCGTAGTAGGAAGTGTATGCATGCAGTAATTAGTTAAATTCAGATGTTATAAATCTGTGTGGATTAGGCAGTGGGCTTTTATATAGGCTCGACATCTGAGATAAAATCTTATACCATAAGGGGTTTGGAGTTCTTCAGAATATGGACATTGGGCTTTTCAGAATGTGGGCTCATCTATAGTAAGATCTCTTATAAAGAGATGTTGAGCTTTAGTCAGAATATGGGCTCATCTATAGTAAGATCTTTTATAAAGAGATGTTTAGCTTTAGTCAGAGTGTGGGCTCATCTATAGTAAGATCTCTTATAAAGAGATGTTGAGCTTTAGTCAGAGTGTGGGCTCATTTTCGGTTAAACATGGTATGTTAACAGTCATAATTATCTCAGTATTTTGTGGCTGAATTTACATGTGAAGAAGAGAAAAAAACACTAAAAGATGAATTATTTGATCATAGAATTTTAATAAATATACGAGTGAGGAAGAAGCCTCCGCTAGTGACACAACAAAAATATCACAGTTTTATTAAGTACCGTTGTGCAAGATCATGTTTACCACCACGAGTAAGGACAAATATAGCTGGGCCCCTCACCTCTCCAGAACACGGAAGGGGCCTCATACAGGTGTGCTTCAGTGTCTCTTGCAAATGAATAAAAAACATCTATCTCCAGCGTTCGGAAGCCTTCATGAGGGGCCATTCATGTGTGCATGTTGACAAAAGATAACAGAAATATTCATAGGTAGGATGACTAGCAGTAATACATGTAAATGTATAAATGTCAAAAAATAACTTTACAAATGATTCTGAAATCAATAGCATACAGAACACAATCAAGGTTCTAAACGGAAATTTGTTGTAATAATCCAATGATGTACTGTTGTCAGACATGTCTAGTAGGACGAGAAGTCCACAGACATGTCTAGTAGGACGAGAAGTCCAGACACCTGGTCAGCTTGTAGGATCAGTTGTGTTCTTCAGTAGTATTTTCATGCAAACAAATCGAAGTGACAGTGGTTTTACACAGGTATTTAACACATGTTTTCATAATTGGTAAATCCTTTTCTAAAATAAGTGCAATAAACATATACCAACAGATACACATCACATATTTCTCTGTCGTCTTCACCAGTAAAAACAGTGTAACAATCACCAACAGATATATATGAATCATATAATTCATATAAATGTTGGAGACTGAAGAACAGTCTTAAAAGTACATAACAATGTTATTAATTTATATTTTGTATGGAAATAGACAATGGGTATACATGTATCTATAATGAAGCTTATTTCAAATACATTTTCAATAAACACAACATAGGACATGAAAGACAACTGTAGATGAGTGTCACCCTCCAGTTTAATCGGCCAGTGGAGTGTGGTCTATTGTAGTTACAAGCCACCATTGTAAACAACTGTAGATGAGTGTCACCCTCCAGTTTAATCGGCCAGTGGAGTGTGGTCTATTGTAGTTACAAGCCACCATTATAGACAACTGTAGATGAGTGTCACCCTCCAGTTTAATCGGCCAGTGGAGTGTGGTCTATTGTAGTTACAAGCCACCATTATAGACAACTGTAGATGAGTGTCACCCTCCAGTTTAATCGGCCAGTGGAGTGTGGTCTATTGTAGTTACAAGCCACCATTATAGACAACTGTAGATGAGTGTCACCCTCCAGTTTAATCGGCCAGTGGAGTGTGGTCTATTGTAGTTACAAGCCACCATTATAGACAACTGTAGATGAGTGTCACCCTCCAGTTTAATCGGCCAGTGGAGTGTGGTCTATTGTAGTTACAAGCCACCATTATAGACAACTGTAGATGAGTGTCACCCTCCAGTTTAATCGGCCAGTGGAGTGTGGTCTATTGTAGTTACAAGCCACCATTATAGACAACTGTAGATGAGTGTCACCCTCCAGTTTAATCGGCCAGTGGAGTGTGGTCTATTGTAGTTACAAGCCACCATTATAGACAACTGTAGATGAGTGTCACCCTCCAGTTTAATCGGCCAGTGGAGTGTGGTCTATTGTAGTTACAAGCCACCATTATAGACAACTGTAGATGAGTGTCACCCTCCAGTTTAATCGGCCAGTGGAGTGTGGTCTATTGTAGTTACAAGCCACCATTATAGACAACTGTAGATGAGTGTCACCCTCCAGTTTAATCGGCCAGTGGAGTGTGGTCTATTGTAGTTACAAGCCACCATTATAGACAACTGTAGATGAGTGTCACCCTCCAGTTTAATCGGCCAGTGGAGTGTGGTCTATTGTAGTTACAAGCCACCATTATAGACAACTGTAGATGAGTGTCACCCTCCAGTTTAATCGGCCAGTGGAGTGTGGTCTATTGTAGTTACAAGCCACCATTATAGACAACTGTAGATGAGTGTCACCCTCCAGTTTAATCGGCCAGTGGAGTGTGGTCTATTGTAGTTACAAGCCACCATTATAGACAACTGTAGCAGCTTGTGAAAACCAGTATGGTCGGATATTGTCTAGCAGAGGGTGATTGGGTTGTCTCCCTAGACGGACAACTTTGTGAGCATAAACTTATTTGTCTCCTTACACAAATTTTCCTGCCATTATTTGTAGGGTATGTATAGTTATTTGGATTATTTCCCTTTACAGGTTTTCCCTGTGATTGTTAAAATTGTTTTGGTTGTCTCCCTGGATAGATTTTGGTTGGAGAGGTAAATATATTTAGTTCAGCTGTCTCATTGGACAAATTCCAAATGAAAAGTAAATATTCAGAAGGGAGTTTCCCTGGACAATTGTGAAGAGTAGGTCTCGTACTGTTAAATTTTATCCTGTGAACATCATGCATATATATTTGTAGAGATGTGTAAACCTGGACGGATTTTCCCTGTCAAGGGTATTTAGTTATTTGCGTTTTCACTTTGCAATAGTTGTTTGTCTCCTGGAAACGTTTCCTTTTGAACAGGTTATCTTAAGTTGCATTCTTGGACGGATCATATCACATTGTATTGTGAACACAAATTGTTTCAATACACAAATAAGTGCTTGCTAAGTTATCTGCCCCACTAGCATGTAAACTTGATGCTACACTATTCCTGCTGGCATTAGGTGATTGAGACTCGCTGTCTAATAATGCACCACATTCCTTAGGATTTATATTATCATGCACCACTTGGTCAACATTGTACACACATCAAAAGTTAGCTGTAAGGACTCCACAAATGGATGTCTCTAAGAGACTTTGTGAGCCAGTAGTACTATGCCACAGTGTTGTGTTTTTTGATGGCCGAGATTTGTCGTGGTGCCCCCCTCCGACTGGCAGCGATGGAAGACTTGTCAGACTTAGGGACACTGGTAGTCTTTTTCTCTTGGTCACCACTAGGGGGAGTATCAGGGTTCCCATAGGAAAAGTCCATGTTCCGAAGCATTTCCTCGGTCATGTTATCCGATGTGTAGCCCTTGTTGATCATCCTCTGACTTAAGGGCATGCTTGGCAACTTAACCTCAACGACATCCTGTGGACAACAAAATCAGCTCATTACATAGACAGAAAGGTCCATGAAGATTACAGGGTATATTTGGGTGACATTTTGATAATTAGTGTTTTAGAACTACATTCTTGGTAAGTCATATTGAATTTGCTAGGCTGAAATGATTTCAATATCACTATTAACTTTAATTTAATTATTAACCATTTTCATTGAACTGTATCAATTAGACTGGCCTTTTGACTCCAAAAAGTGTTTGTTTGAAGCAGGAAATGGAATGAATAGTTAACCATTTAACTAGCTAGAGTCTGTAAGGGGGTCTTGATGATAAAGCAGTTTTTCATGCCATACCTATGCTAGGGGTTGGGATTCTGGAAGAGGGAATCGAGTTAATCATGCCATGCCTTGTTTTTAGATGGTCTGGAACAGGGAGCACAGTCCGTTGTGTTATAACTTTGTTTGGAATTCCAGGAAGATTGACCCAATTTTCTGTATGGCCTACATTTAATTTGAGGGCCTGGATGGAAGCAGAACATATCTTGTCATGTTTACCATTATTTGGAGGGTTCGAAAGGAGCAGCAACTTATGATGCCATGCCTTTGTTTGGAATGTCTTGTAGAAAAAGCATATTTAATCATGTCCACCTTTACCTGTCTGGAAGGGGGAGCAGCTTATCAAGAGATTTCTTCAGGGTAGGGGAGGGGGGAGGGGGTGTCCTTGTAGAGGGAGCACAGCTTGTCATCTCCTACCTTTGTTTGGAGGGCCTGGAAGGGGGAGCACAATTTGCCATATCTCTGAGTAATGGTGAAGTCTACATCCTCGGCAAGCCTGTTCCTCCGGTCCATGCGACATGTCTTCATGCTGTGTAACTGTTTAGCCACCTTGGAGCCGAGGAATGTCTAAAAGTGTGGTTTTATACATGAATTTTAGCCTTTTACTACAAAGTGACTACCATGGTAGATAATAATTATGTTTCCTGTAGACATGTCAGCTGAAAAGCAATTCTTGGAAATTAGATAAACCACTGTTCTTTCCTTCAATATCATAAAGGAAACTCTACGAAAACTGCAGGCAAATGATAAAACAAATTAAGTATTCATGTCTTATTTATATAATTGAACCTGCATCACATTGAAAAGGAATGTACCTGTAATATCAGAATCTTTGAAAATTCAAATAAATCAATAAGATACCATTGTTTATTGTCTTTATCATTCTTTAATGATAACTTTTTATCAATGAAAATTTAAAATTGCAAATGAACTGTTCAGTTTTTCACAACCAATTCATATAAATAATAGTCCTCTGATACCCTGTGATCTAACAAATAGGATTTGCTGTACAGTACTTCTGATCTGAGAATTAAATTTTACAAAAAAACACTGAACACCATCAGTAAGACAATACTAAGAAAACACGATGAAAAAAACATGCAATGTTAACATTGTGAACACCTACCTTGGAGCGCTCAGGTCGAAGTGACCCAAGGTCAATTGTCTGTGCCCTGACCTTGATGTTTAGGCTGTGCCCACTGTCACTGTGTCTCTCCACTGTGGGAGCCTGTGTGGGTAAGGGCGTCTATAAACAACCACCCAGAAAGTGCATACAGCTAAATTGTACAGGGTGCTGACATACAGATGTAGGTAACCATTCAATACTGTCTGACTGCCAATGCCAGGGTAACCCAGGAAACCTACAACTACCAACACCAAGGTAACCATAGAAACCTACAACTACCAACACTGAGGTAACCATAGAAACCTACAACTACCAACACCGAGGTAACCATAGAAACCTACAACTACCAACACCAAGGTAACCATAGAAACCAACTACTTCATAAAGATATTATAACCATAAATACCACCTGACTTTTAACAGGGTTACCATAGTTACCACCTGACTATCAATTATATAGTTACCATAGATACCACCCGTCTATCAGTTATATGTAACATGTAGCGCTCCCATTCACCATATTCTACATACAATGGTAACACTTTTGAATGGTTGGACATCCCATACCTTTCCATATGCAATAACATGTCTGGATGGTAGCTACTCCCCAACCTTTCCAGAGCTTCCCCACCTAATCTGCTGCTGGTATTGGTACCCCAAAGAGTTAATATAAACCCCGTGTTGAATATTCATGTCTGTTAGAAATTACAATTTCCCCACTGGCATTGGTCTGTCGGTCAATCATCTGGTCAAGCCATCAAACCACCACGGGCCATCAAACCACCACAAACACGGAAACAGGCGTTTTATCAGTGATGAATTATTAAAAGTTTCACAATATATTTACAGGTATCTAGATTAGAATGTACAAATGTTCACCTGTTCTTTCAATTTTTATTATTTCATATGGTTCTGAAGACTATAAATGGATGTTGGTTTTATATTTGTTGTATTAAATCTAACAGGTGTTTGTGAATGATTTGAAGGAAACCCTGATGTTACAGTTAGAGAATGATAAAACACTTCACAATATCAACAGAAGTATCAAACACATCACACCTATTCCACTGTTCTCACTAGTGTTCAATACAATTTCATAATTCTTACTTTTCTTATAGTGCTGAGTTGCAATTTTGTCATTTAGTTGTAAAAAAAACCTGGCTGTTTTAAGCTTCACAATTGATAATGATTATTAAATAAATATCACCTCAGCTACTGGTGTTTTTCTGTGACTTTGTTTACACACACTGCTCTGGTCATACTGGCCAGCAGCTGTCACAGTGAATGCCTATCAATATCTATGTGTGCCTACTTAAAACCCTTATTATTACAAAGCAAAGGTAGAGAACTCTGTGAAAACACGAAAAGATAAAAATAAAACAGTTAGCCACAATACCACATATCACAACACCACTACAAGGTAAAAATATCCTCTCTACTCACATCCACAGACTCCTCCTCCAATTCCTCCTCCTCCTCCTCCTCCTCTTCCTTCTCCTCTACCTCCCCGTTATCCTTATTTGGAATCTCCTCCTGACCTCCGACCTGTACGTTCTCTGTTTCTATGGTGATATCTGCTTGGCTATTGTTACTTGTTTTATCACCTGTCATAGCAAATCATATGGCAATAATTTAACAAGAGGTCTATTAGGCCTGTTTTGAAATAAACTGAGATACCAGTATGAGATCATGGTGGCAAACTTGAATTTTTTATTGACCCAAACAATTAAAATACAACCACTTGGTCAGGACTGGGCAGGATTTGTGTGCCGCCTTTGGTTGAAACTGACCTGGATGAACTTAAAAATTAATCCAAAAAGTCTCGGCACATCTGAATCAGAAATGAGAATGGTCATCTGGGTGGACAATTGTAGAGACGATAGTTTTTCTGCATGAGGTGATAATTCGGTGAAAGAATTGATGATAGACTTTCTGCTCTAGGTGATGGATGAAATAATGTTTTGGTATGGCTTGTTGATGTTTCTAAACATATAAAATTAAGTCTTAAATCTTCCGGATATTTTTTTTATATATATATATTTAGTTCAACTGCACAATTGATATTAGACCAAACATGTGACAACCTACATCCAAGCTTTTCATTCCTTACCATCTAATTTACTGGTCCCCGTCACATCCCAGGGCGTTTTAGGGTGACACCAAGACTTCTTGTTCTTAAGGTTCCAGGACTTTTTCTGATGAAAGAATGTCAAAGTATGAAACAATTTATTACAATGTCATTTCTATAGATAAAGTTAAGTATCGTTCTTGAAAGTTTAGCGGAAATAACTCTATACAACCTGTTGGAAGCTATTCACACTCACAATTGAATGTCCGACCAAATAGCACAGTTGTTTACAGCATAGTCTTTTTGCAATTTTGAACTTTTTCTTAAAAATCTCATTATCACAGTTATTACAATTGTTTGCCTACCTGACCAAAGGTGCCTATGTAGTGACCCTCCATGGACCAGAGACGTGCCGTTTTGTCTGTGGACGCACTGAGGATAAACTGACCAGCCTCATGCTGGATGTACTCCACACTGACCACCGCCGAGTCGTGGGCCTTGAAGGACACATTGAGATGGGGGCAGGTCTTCACTCTCTACAAACAAATCAGGATCATAACACTGTTACAAAACACTCATTGTTTCAATTATCAACACTCGGATATATTAACTTCAAACTTCAGAATTAGGACTTTTATAAGGTTCCATACAGTACATTCCAATGTCGAGTTAGGACATTCCTCCTGATTTTTTACTGTAAGACTAGACTCTTAAGGGCCTGTCACACACTACCAATGTGCCACGCCGGGACTAAACCGGAGCAAAAAATTAATAACAGCAAGAAAATCAGCAGAGCTCCAGCAAGAAAGCACTTGTGCTACCGAATACCACTTTTCTCACACCTCCGTGTTACCGAGGCGCCGCCGTTGTTCTACTGGTGTGCCACCGTTGACCGGAGCTATAGCGGAGTGATACACGGTTGCGCTGCCGATGTTACGTTAGCACATCGTTAGTACATCGTCGGTGCATCAGTCCTAATTTGGTGGTATTTGGTAGTACTACGGTGTAACATCGGTACCAGTAGGGTACACATTGAGGCCACCAGAGAGCTGCCGATCCATTACGGGACGCTAGTGGTGCTCTACCGACATTAACGAAGCCATACTGGAGTACTGCCGTTGTAGTCCCGTTGCTCGCTCCGGCATCGCTACAGCGGACATTTTTTAGCATGTTCAAAAATTTCTACCGTCACCTACCGTTGTTAAATTTTTTGCCGATGTTCTGACAATGTACTACTGTTTTAGCAATGTGATACCGTTGTGCTTCCATACTAGTACTGATTCCTGAAACTCGCCAAATTTGTGCTCCGGTATAGCTCCAGCAACCCAAATCGGCTAGGTGTGACAGGCCCTTAAAGTCATAAGCCTGTATATCTTTAATAATGTATAGTTCAATATTTGGCTGATTTATTATATACTTTGACCTTACTGTCCCTGAATCAACACTAGAATATTGATGGGATATCAACGGTTGATCCCTGTATGATCATCAATGATACTCGGTATTAACTGAAGATCAGACCCAGATATCAATAACATCCGAACAATGACTTTAAATTATTTCATATATGACTGTCTACATAATAAACATGGAGACTGCGGTTCAGGACTGATAAAACTGAGGATTTATTGTATTTAGATGTTTTACCCTTTCTGTGCTGTGCAGACAGTACTCAGAGATGTCCCAACTTTTAATCTGTCCGGTTGTATCTCCGGTGATGAGACAGGAATTACGAGGGTCTGTGCACATAGCCAGCACCGACTCATCCTTTGTGTCAGGTACATAGAAATAGCCTAAAAAGTAAGACATGAACATAGAAATCGTCTATAAGTAAGACATGATCATAGAAATAGCTGAGAAGTAAGACATGAACATAAAAATAGCCTAGAAGTAAGATATGAACATAGAAATCATCTATAAGTAAGACATGAACATAGAAATAGTCTATAAGTAAGACATGAACATAGAAATAGTCTATAAGTAAGACATAAACATAGAAACAGTCTATAAGTAAGACATGAACATAGAAATAGTCTATAAGTAAGACATGATCATAGAAATTGCTGAGAAGTCAGACATAAACATAGAAACAGTCTAGAAGTAAGACATGAACACAAAAATATCAGCAGACTTCAATATTCTATCAAGTATATCATGTAATGAACTCATGTCAATCTTAGATGAACTGTAATTTGAATTGTTTCATTTTCTATTATTTGGATATTTATCTTATTTGCAATATCAGTTGATATATACGTGTATTTTCTCAGTCATTTCTACAATACTGGACATCACAAAATACAAGGTGATTATAGGGATAAGATGACGGTTATAAGGTTGTGATGACTTACCCATCTCGTATTTGGCGGTGAACAGACACCACCAGTGTAGGTAAACTTACCCATCGCGTGTTTGGCGGTGAAGAGACCCCACCAGTGTAGATAAACTTACCCATCTCGTGTTTGGCGGTGAAGAGACACCACCAGTGTAGGTAGCCTGCCTCACTAGACACCAGCATAGACGTGTCCAATGTCCGACCAGCACAGCGCGCCCGCAGAAACAGGAGTTTATCAACCGGAACAGGCTGTCTGGGTGACAAATAAACCACACCTTTCAATCACAGAAATTTATCATACCACATAATAAATAGCAGTTCTATCATACTTAATCAAATTGTTATTCATATTAATTGTATAATAATAATACAGTATTAGAATCATACAGACTTTTCACAGTTATTACTTTGACCTTCAATGCTAAGAGCAATGACATTCAACTTGCACAAAACAACAGCCTTTGAACTTTCATATTAATGTCAAAATCTTGATACTAAACACTGTTGGTTCTAAACTCAGGACAATATTATTTACTTGATTTGATGCAGTATTTTCAGAAAGACAACTTACCCTTTTGCGATCCTATGTGATTTTCTGTGGCGTGAGTTTGGGCGAGACAGCAGGGTGTTGGAGGAAGGTCGAGGGTCAGAGGTCGTCTGTGATGACCTCACTCCCTGTGCCTCTTCCAACAGGTCCATAGTACTAAAACTGCTGAGGAAACTTTGCTGTTCCTGGATTGCCTCAATTTTCTTGGTTCTGGTCACAGTAACAGAGAGCGCAGGTTATTACATGTATGTGTATGTTGCATAAAGTATGCATAATATATTCTCAAATGTTGTTCTGATAATACAAGTCATGTAGTAGGCAGGGACTGAAGTAACATCTACTGCAGCATAAGTATACACTACAGTGACAATAAAAAAAATGTGTCACATATATTACCAATGTAACGTACCCTCTGTAACCATTTCATTTCCTACTCATCTTCTATATGTAGGATTATGTATAACATAGATTTCCTGATTTAAGATTATGGTAAAAGATTACTAACTCATTCACCCCTGAAGACGTATTTGAACTCACCCAATTCAAAGGTTGGAATAGTTCATTATAAAATTTCAGGGTTGAATGAGTTAATTAATTTTCAAATTTCACAAAAATGATTGAAAATGTGTGGCTATCATCCTTAATTATTATTATATGATAACATGAATGTGCCCATTAGTCAAACTTAATCTCTGATATCTCTTGATATACAAAGAAACACAAAACTTACATGTCAGGTTTCTGTCCTCTTCGTAGCCTCACAAATATTTTCTCCGTTTCTAGGTCCCAAACTGTGATCTCACCATCAAACCCAGCAGTGGCCAGAAACTGAGGTATGCAGAAGTCCATTGCTAAAATGTCGTCAGCATGGAGTTGTCCCCCTTTCCAATCTGTATTGGCTGGGACATACAGATTCTGTAAAATATTGTTGCATATACATGAATATACAAAACACACTACAAAGAGCACACATTTGAAATGGAGGGAATGGGAAACTTGAATTACCACTTAATCAATTCTTTTTTTAGGAAAACAGATTATTTAGAGTGCACAGGATAAAGTTCTACAAGAAGGAATTAAATCTTACCTGAATTACATTTGTAATTCTTTGTATTTTGCTGGTCAACATAATAGAAATGTCTTTAGTTGAATTATACACACTCATATATACTGTAATAACTACTTCATGGAATAAAAGATATGTATTTTATGGACAAGTGGTCATTATACAGAGGTTTAGGTACAATGTAATTGTAATTTTAGAGATTTAAATTCATGTCAGACTTACATCAGCATCTGAATCATCATAAACTATGATCTTTCGACTCCAGCCAACAGCAAGGATGATGTTCCTGTCCATGACGGGGACAATACCAGTCACCTCAGCTTCCCCCACAGCCTCTAACTTGTGTAAGTTATGTCCATTCTGGAAGTTCCACACCTTTACCAACAAGTAACAAACACATTTAAATATGTAGGCCTATGTGACATGTGTCTTGTGACATATCATGTGACTTGTAACATATGACACCTGTCCTACATAGTATGGTACCTGTACTGTTTACCATAATTGTTCTGTTACACATCCCTGTAATGTTTACCTTAATTGTTCCGTTACGGGCCCCTGTGATCAGCCTCCTCCAGGACTCGTCAAACACCATACATGTGATTTCTTCCTCCCCGTGAGCGTTAGAGAACACAATGGCTTTGTTCCCACTTTCCAGCTCCCATACAGCAATGTTTGAGGAGTCACAGCCTGTCACCACCTTAAACAGTATATACTATGTTATCATCACAGACAGCTGAGGTTCATTTATCAACATAATGGGACAACACTATATGCAAGTATACAGTGAATAATTGTCATTAGACATTCAACAAATATTCATTCTATATCAGTTGTAAAACTTGTAAAGTCACTATACATTGCCATACCAAAACTTTTAGATGCTGCAGTGATCACTTCAGATATACCCCTCCAACAAATCTTCTAATTATCGAAATTGAAACAATATTGTTATGTATAGACCCACTGTGAATAGCGTTACATATTCAAAAATACCATAAATATAACCAGCCCTTCATTTAACAAATCAGGTGAGTGTATCCACAATATTCAGCTCCACTGAGAACAATACTTATACGATACTGGACAACAGTGTCTGGCGTACCTGTTTGAAGAGTTGGTTGTAGATGGCTGAGCAGAGCTGAGTGTCGTGGGTAGTCACAGACTGCTGTTTAGGTAGACGTGTTTGTCCCAGCTTCAGCATCCCCAGGTAGTCATTACAGGTGACGATGAGAGCGTCCTGGGGCGACAGCTGTAGGTGCATGGGGAACTGTCCGTGCTCGGGCATGCGGCCATGGATACTGCTGGGGAATTTGAGCACCACAGTCTGTAGACAGGTGTGTTCTCGAATGTCCCACACCTTTACAACCTACAGGTACAAATAACAGTATTTACTCTACAGTGTAGTAACATTACAATATTCTCTGCAACATAAAATGTCTTTGATCAAAAACCGAGTTCCTTTTGAACACGCATATATATATATATACCTATACACAAACCTATACAACTCAGACTGTATATTACATATCGTGCTAATTTTCCCCTCAAGTCTGTTTGTTACTTACAGCATCTTTTGAGTAGCTGAACACTTGCATAAGGCCTTCGTGAATCTTCACGCCAATGACCCCAGTGGAATGACCCTCGAGCATGGCGATTGGTCGGCTAGCCACATAGGCATTCCAGAGACGGATAACATGATCAAGGCTCCCAGTCACAAGAATGTTTAAATTTTGATTATAATCAAAACATTCTATACCCTTTAAAACAAAAAAACACATAACTCATTAATCAAAATACATTTAACGTCACTAGATACAGGAAAAAGAGATAATTAACAAAAATTCCAATTTAATTTACAATTTTGAATCTCTTGTAATACCTTCTTTGTGTGAAAGTAATCTACATGTATACGTAGTAGTCTGTGATAATTCAGTAAAGAACCAGAATGTGTCCTACCTTTTCAATGTTGAACACATATTGTTTCTTGAGTTTGTTGATGTCAGAGATGACGATGGATCGGTTTGGTGAGCTTGTTGATGAGATGATACTGTTTTTACTATGGATATATTGCACTTGTCGGATGAGATGAGGTGGAATTTGTTGAACTTTATCGTGTAAAATTTTTTCATGTCCTACATAACGAGAATGGCCTCCTTTTTCTACTTCCTGCAAATAGATAAAAGCAGATGCATAAATTATCCTACATAATAATCATTCAATTGAGTACACTATCTTTATCCGTCAACAAAAATGTATCTTAAAATAAATTATCGAGACAAATTGATGATAGAAAAAATGAGTTAAGAAAAACAACAGCACCATCAACTAATCAACTTTTGGTGACTGTTATAAAATATTCTGTCTGTTAGTTGTTAATTTTTACAAAAGGAACAACTACAGTGGATAAGTACATGATATTTAGTGTGATCATAGATCAAAACAGTGGTATATATCCAAGATGGCGGACATTTGTGAACAGGGGGGTTGCTCGCAATTAAGCCCCCTCCCAACTTTTGGCCCATCTTTTTTCTCAGGAGGGGGGGGGGGGGGGGGGGGCTTATTTTAATACGGCAATCAAAAAAACTTCATCATTGTTTGTATGGCTATGTGCTTCGATGTGAAAAAATATCTCTTCATTATACTGGGATTACAACAATAAAACATTACTCACACTCCAGAATATTTTTTGAGCTCCATCTTCACTTTTGAAAGCTGTCTCAAAAAGTTGAGTAAGAGGTTTCTTGAAGTACAGCACATGAACAGCACCAGCATCAACACCAAATATAAGCACGGACATTCCTGCAGGATTCTGGGGGTACATACAACAGGTAGTCAATAGTTAACACAGCATCAACACCAAATATAAGCACGGACATTCCTTCAGGATTCTGGGGGTACATACAACAGGTAGTCAATAGTTAACACAGCATCAACACCAAATATAAGCACGGACATTCCTGCAGGATCCTGGGGGTACATACAACAGGTAGTCAATAGTTAACACAGCATCAACACCAAATATAAGCACGGACATTCCTGCAGGGTTCTGGGGGTACATACAACAGGTAGTCGATAGTTAAGACAGCATCAACTGCTGAAGAAATTTTGTGTCTCCATGATTTGACAAAATAAAAGTTATTTTAACTGTGAAGAAACATTCCATACTTGTTGACAATTTGGACAATCGTGTACCACTATAGAACCTACCTTTTTGTCATACCAGTAATCAAAACAGTACGGGACATCTGACATGGCTGAAATTATAAAAGGGTCTCGTTATATATCTAATCAAATGTTCTATTTGAAGTATTACATTAGTATCGCAGAATGACAGTAGACACGTATGTATACACATTTCATGGTTACAATCTTCTTAAGGCTGGAATATCTTATTTATCTAAATTACAATCCCAACATCCTAAATATCTAATGTTACAGACTCTGTTCATCTAAATGACAAACTCTGTTTATCCCAATTACAATATCTGACATCATGAATAACATCTGAAACAGTGTGTATATGAAATTTCAAAAAGGTAAAATTTATTGGACATTTGAGCTACACCTATCTCAATTACAAACTCCCCCTGAATAAGTTTTTAGCCTCAATTACAAATTCTATTTATCTCTATTACACATTCTGTTAATCTCACTTACCAACTTTGTTCATATCATTTACCAATTCCAACATCTCTCATACCAATATTACCTTAAATATTTTCATGGTATAGCTACCAACTACATTCACTTTACATTGCAATGATAAGATTACCCAGACACATTTATTGGAAACAATAGTAACGCTGTAAAAATTTAATGTAAACAGTCAATGGTCTGAGGGATGAGATAGAGAATGTCAGTTTGTTTTTACCAAAGAGGTTGTACTCCTCGAACCATTGGTTGGTGGAACAGTCAAAGATACGGATATCTCGACTGGTGGAGGCCAGCGCTAACTTGTTACAGTTGGGCAGGTATATAGCATCAGTCACCCACATCTTAAACCGACGTTTGGGCGCATTAAGTTCTGCGTCATCGTCAGATATTGTGTAGGCCTTCTCCATAATCATGTTGGTCTGCCAGACTGTGATGGCTCCTTCCTATAACAGATACAGTAAGCAGGGGTGAGAAATTACATACTTCTTGTGGTGTTTTTTTTTACCAATTTCCATAAATAGAAACAGACATTGGTGACGCATTGAGAAAAAAGAGGGGGTGACAAGGTCACACACTGAAATATCTACAAATATTGCTAATATATACTGACATACTGAATTATCTACCTACCTTGCTAACACCGACATACCGACTGGGATTCTCGGACGCTAGAATCTTTGTGGACTGTTCTTGCTGAAAAACAACGTAAACAATACAGTTAATCTTCCATCAATAGTGTTTTTGACAGAAAACATATAAAACCTTGTATCATTTCTAATAGCTATCTTCATAAGCATCATAATTAGGTGATACTAACATCAATACATCCCCTAAACTTTCCATGTTAAATTTATTTCATGTATCATTATCATCTTTAGATTTACTTCAATGATTTTCTCACCGACGAGGAGATACAGTCATGATGTTGTCAATACCAACAATATTTACGTGTATGTGAGAGTAAAAATACTAAATCTACAGCCGGGTCAATTAGTCAATTACTTGGTAATCTTTTGTCCAGAAAGATTCTGGCAGGCTTTCATTTGTCAACAGTCCACTATACATGTATATAGGTTGCTGTAGGTAATTAAAATTAGAGTTACTTGTATAATTTCATTCTTTATTTACTTTTTTCTTATGACCAGTTGACCTAGGTTTCTAGAAATCTGACCTTGTTTTGCACAATGTGTCTGATTTTGGGTTCCACCAGAAATGGGATTTCTCGCTTGGTCCTCATGTAGTCGTTCTCCCTGTACAGTAGTAACATGTAGGTACAGAATTCACTCCAGTCGACGTAACCATCACACGTGGTGTCTAGCTGTAGGTAACAAAGTACAACTCAATTAAATAAGCTCAAATAGCTCAGAGGTAACACAACATACAACTCACTCAACTAAAGTAACTCAAATAGCTCAGAGGTAACGTAATGTACAACTCCATTAAAAGCAGCTCAAATAGCTGTGAGGTAACACAACTTACAACTCACTCAATTAAAGTAACTCAGATAGCTCAGCGGCAACGCAATGTACAACTCCATTAAAGCAGCTCAAATAGCTCAGAGGTAACACAACATACAACTCACTCAATTAAAGTAGCTCAAACAGCTCAGAGACAACACTGCTTAAAACTCACTCAATTAAAGTAACTCAAATAGCTCAAAGTAAGACAACACACAACTTATTTAATGCAAGTAGCTCAAACAGCTTAGAGGAAACACAAAGTTCAGTTAACTCAATTAAAGTAGCTCAAACAGCTCAGAGACAACACTGCTTAAAACTCACTCAATTAAAGTAACTCAAATAGCTCAAAGTAAGACAACACACAACTTATTTAATGCAAGTAGCTCAAACAGCTTAGAGGAAACACAAAGTTCAGTTAACTCAATTAAAGTAGCTCAAACAGCTCAGAGATAACACTGCTTAAAACTCACTCAATTAAAGTAACTCAAATAGCTCAGAGGTAATGTAATGTACAACTCCATTAAAGCAGCTCAAATAGCTGTGAGGTAACACAACATACAACTCACTCAATTAAAGTAGCTCAAACAGCTCAGAGATAACACTGCTTAAAACTCACTCAATTAAAGTAACTCAAATAGCTCAAAGTAACACAACACACAACTTATTTAATGCAAGTAGCTCAAACAGCTTAGAGGTAACACAAAGTTCAGTTAACTCAATTAAAGTAGCTCAAACAGCTCAGAGATAACACTGCTTAAAACTCACTCAATTAAAGTAGCTGAAACAGCTTAGATGTAACACTGCTTAAAACACACTCAGTAAAAATACAATGTACAACTCAATTAAAGTAGCTCAAAAAGCTTTGAGGTAACTCAATATACAACTCGCTCAACTAAATTATTAAGCTCAAAGGTACACAACATATAACTTACAAGTGAATAATGTTTGTGTGGCATTGACAACTAGTAATCAAGTGCCACAATATGACTCAATTTAAAGTAACAGTTAACATGTTGAAAAGTTTTAGAATGGTGTTAAGATTTACCTTCTGGAAGAGTTTTTCCAGATACTCATCATATTCATGGGTCTCAAGAACACGACTGAATGCGTCTTTGAACTCTACCATGTTCATGGCGCCAGGAACACGTTTCTGGACCTTGGCAGGGAAGTAGCTGGTCGCCTCCTGCAGAATGATGTCTGGAGGTTTAAAGTAGCTGAACTCCTTCATCAGTTTTTGAAGGTGATGTAGCTTCATCAGTTCTTCCAAGCGTGTGTTATTGTCCTTGTCCCCAAAACTGTAAAAAAAGGTCAAGGTCATTAAAATTTTACCTATGTTGTTGTCCTTGTCCCATAAACTGCAAATAAAGGTCAAGGATATTAAAGTCAAGGTCAAGGTAGCCCAAATTACTTTGAATCACATGAAAACATTATCTATATCATTAAAATTGCAACATGACATCAAATCAAGGTCAGCAAATACAGCTGGTCAAGGTTATGGAAGATTTAATTTACAAAAGATAAAGCAGGATTTGTTGTCCTTATAGATAACTTGCAAATAGAGGGGAAGTTTACTTTTCACTTGGAAAAAACTTGCCGCCAGCTGTTCACAAAAAAGGACTAAAGGATTAGAGAAAATAATTTCTGTGTACCAGCTATGCCATTCATAATGAAGTGAGGTCAATGTTTGGTGAAAGTCAAGGTCGATGTCAACTCAAGGTCAAGGTCAATGTCAGCTCAAAGTCAAGATTAATGTTTAGTAAAATTGACCAGAAATAAATCTGCTCTTATAACATTTGAATCCATGGGATAGAAAAACTCCCAGATTAAAGTTATATGAAAATTATTTTTTTATGTACCATGACACTAAGGTTATGATGAATGTCGACAGCCACTGTTGTGCTGTTGGTTACTATGTACAAACAACCTTGGACATGCATTTAATGTCAGCGTTGTCTAATTGATAGTTTATACACGATAGATTTTACTTTTTGAACCTAGGTTGTCTCTATACATGTCTCCAAAGATTACAGATAAAATATATGTACATAACACTCAATTGTCAACGTAAAGTCAGGTTATTATGCATGCATAAAGGATTACAGACAGAAAAACCAACAATGATAAATGATCAAGGTAAATTTCAAGTACAATTCAACATTGCCTCCCAATGATATTGGAGTGTTCTCAATTGATTTTCTGAAATATTCAGTTTAAAAAATATATAAGAATGTTTACGGAACTGTCAATTCTAATTAATTAAAAAAAACTATGAACATTCAAATTTCTTTTTAAAGTTAACACAGCAATAAAGCCCTCTGGATTTTGTTGAATATGAGCTTGACTGAGGTACATGTTAACTCCTGTATAGCTGGAACCTTTACATCAAAGCAAATCATGTATTCTGTCTAAAGTTCACCAGTATTATTATATTATGTAGAATCTATAAGAACTAGCTATAGGCTATAATATAAAGGACGTAATTAATTACAGTCATCAGTTACCTTAACCATCTGTATCTCAGTATAAAGATATACCATCGTTAAGATGACACTGCTATATAAACCTAAAGTTGTGATTAATATTCATAATTCACATCATTTCTAGGTCTGTGTTCTCCTCGGCATACATAACTTGTATAGAATAACTGAATATTGTTAAAATCTCATTCCTCCTGGTTTACAAATGTAAATATTATGTCAGTTTCTATGCAGTATATAAAGCCCAGGGCATCTACGTTTTCTCAGTAAATTATTCACATTTACCTTTTAAGAAACACAACACAATTCCTAGCAGGTTTTGCATTCATTTTAAGACCTTGATGGTATACAACAGAGGAGTACTTCTCTTGATCTGACCTTAGCTCTAATATCTCCAGTGGTGTATTTCCTATCTCTATAGTTTACATGGGAGTACTACTCATGATCTGACCTTAGCTGTAGTACCTCCAGTGGTGTATTTCCTATCTCTATGGTTTATAGGGGAGTACTACTCTTGATCTGACCTTAGCTGTAGTCCCTCCAGTGGTGTGTTTCCTATCTCTATAGTTTACAGGGGAGAACTACTCTTGATCTGACCTTAGCTCTTCTATCTCCAGTGGTGTGTTTCCTATCTCTATGGTTTACAGGGGAGAACTACTCTTGATCTGACCTTAGCTCTTCTATCTCCAATGGTGTGTTTCCTATCTCTATGGTTTACAGGGGAGTACTACTCTTGATCTGAACTTAGCTGTAGTACCTCCAGTGGTGTGTTTCCTATCTCAATGGTTTACAGGGGAGTACTACTCTTGATCTGACCTTAGCTGTAGTCCCTCCAGTGGTGTGTTTCCTATCTCTATAGTTTACAGGGGATTACTACTCTTGATCTGACCTTAGCTCTTCTATCTCCAATGGTGTGTTTCCTATCTCTATGGTTTACAGGGGAGAACTACTCTTGATCTGACCTTAGCTGTAGTACCTCCAGTTGTGTGTTTCCTATCTCTATAGTTTACATGGGAGTACTACTCTTGATCTGACCGAGTACTACTCTTGATCTGACCTTAGCTCTAATATCTCCAGTGGTGTATTTCCTATCTCTATAGTTTATAGGGGAGTACTACTGTTGATCTGACCTTAGCTGTAGTACCTCCAGTGGTGTATTTCCTATCTCTATAGTTTATAGGGGAGTACTACTCTTGATCTGACCTTAGCTGTAGTACCTCCAGTGGTGTGTTTCCTATCTCAATGGTTTACAGGGGAGTACTACTCTTGATCTGACCTTAGCTCTTCTATCTCCAGTGGTGTATTTCCTATCTCTATAGTTTACATGGGAGTACTACTCTTGATCTGACCTTAGCTGTAGTACCTCCAGTGGTGTATTTCCTATCTCTATAGTTTACATGGGAGTACTACTCTTGATCTGACCTTAGCTGTAGTACCTCCAGTTGTGTGTTTCCTATCTCTATGGTTTACAGGGAGTACTACTCTTGATCTGAGCTTAGCTCTTCTATCTCCAGAGGTATGTTTCCTATCTCTATGGTTTACAGGTTTTCTTGATCTGACCTTAACTCTAATATCTCCAATGGTGTGTATCTAACATCTATGGTTTAAGAGAAACACTTCCTTATTAGGTTTTAACCATAGCTCTATGGTATCAAGGGATGTCATCTCATATCTTTGGTTTATAAGCCGCATTTTTTTTATTAGTGTGTTGCAATCTTGCTGGTCCACCTACCTTCAGGTTTCACAGAAACATACTTCAAAACTGAACTCCTATTCAGTTTGCACCAAATATAACAAACTTAATTTATTAATAAAAATTCATGAGAAATTTTCTTTTACATAAAGGCTTTCCATAAAATTGAATAACCATCTTTAACAAAGATTATAAACATAATGATGGGTCATGTTTATACATAAATGTATCATTTTATGTATGAAATATCTGAACTCACATCTCAAATCAATAGACATCTAAATTTGCCCATGCCATCAGAATTTTCAGTCGTGTATTTTTCTGTTGCTGCATTATATTAGGGGTTTTAGTCTACTGTGACCTTCATAATACTGGTACACAAAAAACAGATTATGTTGAAGGTCCTCAAGAGTAATTACAAAAAAATGCCAAACAATGACTTTCAATTATAGATCCCAATGTAAGCCAAAAATCTATCTTATTTTCATTTCAGAGTTTTATAAGGATATAATTATTAAAAATCTATTCCCTGTAGGGACAGGTAAAAAGCACTGTGATTCTCATGTCAAACACTAATTTTAATTAAGAAGTTTTTATGACGAGTGGTATGAGGCCTGGGGTTGCATGCTATGCGCCATAAGGCCTTCTGTGGGGTCCAAATAGGGATATATGGGGGGGTTCCAAGTGGGGTTCCATGAAATGTTCCATGAGGTGTGCTATGAAGTATTCCTTGAAGGAGTTCCAAGCAGACTGTCCTTGATGGCATTGTGTGGAGGCTCTACGAGGGCTGATAGCTAATTCCATGAAACATCCATGTGATGTTCCACAAAGATTTCCATGCAATATTTCATCAGGAGTATTGTAAGAAGCTCTATGAGAAGCACCATGATATTTAGTATTGTGTACATGGTATTTCATGGAGGTTTCCATGATGGGTAATAAAATGAAGACTTTACATTGTTTTCATTGTAATGAGATGTTCTATGCAGTCTATGCTGAAGTGTTCAGTGTTCCATGAGGAGAGATATACTCTCAGCCCGACAGCCCTGGGGAGGACTTTCCCAGTGATTGTGGCCTGCAGTACTTTGAGATAGGTGTATGTGACTGACGTAGTGTGGTTGGTCAGCCTGACAGCCCTGGGTGAACATTAGAGTGCCATGTCAATATAAACAGCTGACTACAGTTCTGTATCTGATAAACTAACTCTTAACATATCCAACACAAACACTGATAAACATTGATTTAACCTAAGCAGGGCAGGTTTCAATAGCGGAAACTAATAATGAAAACCTTCAACCTAAACGTTGAGTTCTTAATATTGAAAGATAAGAAGGAGCAAGCTTCTAAGCATCAAATAACCTCCTGATACAAGAGTATATCATACAATATTCTTTCTGTTTACAGGAACATAGCATCAAATAACTCCCTTGACAAAAATGGAGCATAGCATCAGATAGTCTTTCTTAACCAAACCCTTGGACACAGAACATCAATTAAGCAGTGATTTAGGAACCTTAAGCCGATACAGTAACATATATAAAACCATTTCATCTAATTTCATTACATTGGAATGTGTTGGGAATGAATACAGTCAATAAAACAAATGTACTGCTATGACATTTCAATACCTTTTTTGACAGTTTTGTGTTCATTAACAATGTGCCATAGGATGTTGAACAAAGGGCTGTCTTAACAATACAACAGTTCTATTAGGTATGTATTGATTACTCTGGCTGATTAATATCTGTCTAAACAAACACCCAATAGCTGCGGAGGGAAATTAAACACGGCATGTCCATCTCACCTGATCAATACACCTGGCCAGGTATATCACTGCAGGTAACTACCCCACAGGTAAACAACAGGGGACACATAGCACCAGTTATCAGCACAAATTTAATTAAGTCTGCAGGTGATAGTATGATTTTAATGTTGATTAAAAACAAACCAAAAAAATTTGATGGCATCTATGATGAAATTTTAATAACAATTAACTATCAGCATCTCAAGCTCCCTGTCTGTTGTGGTGACATTTTTTACATCACACCTAGTAACGGCAGTATGTCAGACAGGGTAGCATGTATCTAACAACGGATGGAACCTGACACCAGACTTCGTTAGATGT